TGGAAGGGACCCCATGTATCATCAAGTCCGGAGGGATGGTGCTAGAGCCATATAAAATATTATAAACATTTCTCCCAAGATCCCAGAAGGCACAAGGGTACTCTTTTGAGTAAAAAATGTGGGATTGCTGGGGGAGTTTGACTCAGCTTGGCTTTTGTTAAGTTTTGGCCATCATCATCATCATCTTAGAACTGCAAAGCTGGAAGGGACCCCATGTATCATCAAGTCCGGAGGTATAGAGAGGAATCACACTCCCAACCTCTGGCTCCGCAGCTAGATACCCAACAATATTCAGTAACTAATGACAAAATATGTTTTTGTATTTAGGATCTTTGAAAGACTAAGTGATTACAATACAAATTTATTCTACAGCCAAAGCCCTGATAATTGAGTGATTGTAGATGACCAGGAGGAAACTGTGATAAGAATTTTGACATAATTTATTCTACAGCCAAAGGCCTGATAATTGAGTGATTGTAGATGACCAAGAGGAAACTGATAAGAATTTTGACACTGGCTGAGACATACCTTGCTTTTAGATGGAAGGGAAAAATTAAATAAAATCCCAAATACTGAAACATGGAATGTGCACTCAATGGAATAAAACAAAACAAATATGGTGAGAATTACACACAACAATAAATTATTTCAAGAGCAACTGTTAACATTTAGAATTGAACACTGGTATATCAAAAACATCTGATGACTTTCCAATACCCCTCCACATGGAAAAAAAATCATTTGTAGCCATTTTCAAAGATGGGGCCATTCATTATTTTCCAGTGTGTACAACAAAAACATAAAGAGAACTTGTGACAACTTTCAAACAAATAGATTTGTTTTAACATGAGCTTTCATGGACTGTTAAATATTGTTTTTCAAGGATGTCAGCCATTTTGGGTCCTTTTAAAGGGGAAAAGCAAGACAAAAATACTTTAATTAAATAAAATAGATATTCAAGCATGTAAGGGTGCTAGAGCCATATAAAATATTATAAACATTTCTCCCAAGATCCCAGAAGGCACAAGGGTACTCTTTTGAGTAAAAAAGTGTGGGATTGCTGGGGGAGTTTGACTCAGCTTGGCTTTTGTTAAGTTTTTGCCATCATCATCATCATCATCTTAGAACTGCAAAGCTGGAAGGGACCCCATGTATCATCAAGTCCGGAGGGATAGAGAGGAATCAAACTCCCAACCTCTGGCTCCACAGCTAGATCCCCAACAATATTCAGCAACTAATGACAAAATATGTTTTTGTATTTAGGATCTCTGAAAGACTGAGTGATTACAATACAAATTTATTCTACAGCCAAAGGCCTGATAATTGAGTGATTGTAGATGACCAAGAGGAAACTGATAAGAATTTTGACACTGGCTGAGACATACCTTGCTTTTAGATGGAAGGGAAAAATTAAATAAAATCCCAAATACTGAAACATGGAATGTGCACTCAATGGAATAAAACAATAAATTCTTTCAAGAGCAACTGTTAACATTTAGAATTGAACACGGGTATATCAAAAACATCTGATGACTTTCCAATACCCCTCCACATGGGAAAAAAATCATGATCATTGTTTTCCAGTGTGTACAACAAAAACAAAAACAGAACTTGTGACAAATTTCAGACAAACAGATTTGTTTTTACATGAGCTTTCATGGACTATCATCCATTTTAATTGCATTTTAATCATTTTATTTTTTAATGTATTGTAATTGCTGTAAGCTGCCCAGAGACCTTTGGGTAGAGTGGTCGGCATATAAGTTAAATAAATAAACTTCTTCACATGCACTATTATTAGTAATATTTTTAAAAACTATCTATTCCCATTATTCATCACGGTGGATTTTTTTGAAAAGATCAATGCACCATTGTTGCTTGTTGTGATGTTAAAAACCCAACTGACTGCATGTGTCACTTTTTACATCATTCGCTACTTTGTGTGGAGGAAAGAGGACCTGACTTTACAATTTGAAAAGAAGCAAAAAGAGAGAGAAGCCCTTAATAAAAAGGTAATGACAAGACATTTAATAGTAAGCAATAATCTAAATTCCACTGGGCCAGCACGTGAACTTATCTGTTCCTGGTTTCGCTTTTCTAAAAATAGAGTATTACATAACTCCTGTTCTAATTATGTAGCAATGCCAAGGTTTTAAGGGGAAATCCTGACAGTGGTAAGTAGTGCAGTTGCAGTTAAAACAGTTTGCCAGATGCTCCCTGAAGATGTACGATCTGGCCACAGTGACACATGCTTCAGTCACACAATACCCGGCCTACTGTAATGGACTCTGCGTGGCACTGTTTTTGGGAAGTGTTCAGAAACCCTGAGAGGTCCAAAATGCTGTGGCCAGACAGATGATGAGAGCTGCTAAAGACAGAATAGGAATCCCCTGTTTTAACAGCTTCATTGGCTACTAGTCAGTTTCCAAATGGAAATTAGAAGTGCTGGTTATGACCTATAAAGACCCGAGTGACTTGGATCCAGGTTATCTCAAGGACTGTATGTCCCCATACAATCCTGTTTTGCTTTGAAGATCTTTAGCAGAAGCCTTTCCTTTGGTGTTATCGACTTCATAGGCATAAGTACAATGAAGCGATGATGTAGGGCCTTTTCAGTAGATGCTCCCAGGCCAAGCTGGCTCACTCCTTGCTATCTTTTGGCTACAGGGAAATATTTTTCTGTTTGGGCAGGCTTTTGCCAAATAACTTGCTGAAAAGGTGAAAGTTTGAGTATGGCAAATGTTGTATTTTACCTTTCTTAAATACTTTTCAATACTGCAATTTATTGGTGAAACCCTATTGTGTGCAGTTACGCAAACAGAACTTTTAGATGTGATTTGCCCTACATTAAATATCTGTAGACTTTGAGCCTAAAGTTATGCCATTTGTGTAACTGAACAACAGGACTCCAGCCACTGTTTTTTTCTGCAGTAAATGAATTAATCAACACCATAAACTGGTTTAAGAATCATTCATTGCTTTATGAGGGATCCCAAGGAACTGTGGAAGCTGGAGCTCAGGATCTCGTAACATATAATTTTCTTTTCCTCTAGCACATAATTTTGCTAAACTAAACAGCAAAGCGTGGCCCTCCAGATGTTGTTGGACTGCAACTCCCATAATCCCTTGCTAGCAAAACCAAAGATAGGGACTGTTGGGAGTTGCAGTCCAATAGTATCTAGAGGACTGGGCTTTACGTATTTCCTGAGAATTGTGTGAACTCATTTGCTAGTCCCAAATAGAACAGATCCGTTGAATTGGTCAGATTAACAGAAATGCTGACTCATATTGAACAACTAATGTGTGGTGTAGTAGACAGAGTGACAGACTAAGACTTTGGAGACCAGGGTTCAAATCCCTGCCCAGCCATGGAAACCACTGGGGGAGTAGAACTGGTAAAATCACTCCTTAAATATCTCATTTAGCTCGAAAGCCCCATTAGATATATTATAAGTTGGCTCTAACTTGACAGCACACAACCACCAACAAACTGTACTTGGGACCAGCATTTGGGATTTAGGCCAGTACATATATAATACAAAAACAACTGAACTGTTAATAAAGAAAATGGCTGGGAGACGGGTCGTAAGAGATTCTTGCCAGCTTTTAGAGGATGGAATGTTTCCATAGTAGTGGGCACCAGATTTACAGAGGTGTGTAAAGAAAGACTGATAACAGGATGGAAGCAAACAGCACTGTCCCTTTTTGAGTGGGGATGAGGGTGGCAGCAGGAATTCTATTTTAAAAAATTGGCTTCTTAACTCCCTCAGATCACTTGGATTTGGTGGAAGAAGCCACGGTTCTCCATAGATTCCAGCTCATAGTCCAAAGGGGGTAGAGATGCTCTCTGCTTTTTCTCTGTATCCCACCTCTCCCTGCCCAAGATGTCCACCTCTGTATCCACAAGAGGGTGAAAGCAAGAAAGGAAGGAGGAGTTGGACCAGAGAATCCCACTTGACGTTAATTGATTGGAGTGGCTGTTGGTGCCTTATCTCTCTCCCCTTCTCTGCCGGGTAGTGTGTGTCCGCCAGAGTCCGCGGGGTCGGTGATTAATAGGGCCCATCACTCACTGTCCAGGATGGCTGAAAGGCGGCGTGGGGGGGAGGGGGTGGCCCTCCCCCCGCCGCTGAGATAACAAGCAGCAGGAATAATGAACGCTGTCATTCCACTTTTCATTTTGATGGAAAGTCATTACGAGAGTCAACACCACCGACAAAGAGCAATGAATCAACTGCTCTCCTATGAAATTAAAATTGAATCACCTCCCCCCCAACTGATCACCCTCTTTTCGCCCCCCCCGTTTCCAAATAAGAGGAAACGTTGGGTGCAGTACAGACTTTTATGGTGTGTCTGCCAGGATAAGGAAACAATGGGTGCAGATCGGAGGCCAGACAAGAAGTTATGTGTTGGCACCATTGCTCTGCCTTGTCTTTCAGCCAAAGCACAGAGGTGTTGATCCTGTCATTTCCTGGATGGCAGCTATGAGTGGGAGGGGTCAAGTTGTGATATATCTAGCTAACCTGCTGCTTGCTTGTTATGCCAAGGTAGAACTGGCACAAAATGAGAGAGTGGTAACTCAGTGGCAAAGCAGCTGCTTCACATGGATGCAGAAAGTACCAGGTCCAATTCCCAGCACCATCAGGAAGGGCTAAGAAAGAATCCTGCTCGAAACCCTGTGACACTGGTGATAACGCTGAGCTAGAGGGACCAATGATCTGACCCAGTATGAGGCAGCTTCCTGATGGGACATTTTACTCCAAAATCTGGGAGAAAGTGATGGGAATCTTTCAAAGGAACATAGGTGGGTGCAAGGTATACAAGCTGTCACCTGTTGCCTGAAACACGGTGGGCAGACTCTGCACTCCAAAGAAACACACCACCTATTCATACATTACATCTGACAATGCGCCCCTCCCTTTGGGAAATGCAAACCTCCTCAGAATGAAGGGATGTTTCCCAGCTTGGCGATTGCTTCCAGACAGACAACTGGGAGTGGCTTGCATTTCAGTGGGAATCACTTTCTCGCAGCTGTGACTGGAGCCAAAATATTGGCCATCTATAAGGAGGAAGTGGGGATGATAGATTGGAGACAGATTTGTCATACTTAGAAGAGACCATCAGAAATCAATGGGACTCGAGATGGTCATGACTCACTTGTGTGGCGCTGTTTTCAATGAGCCTACTCCAAGTAGAGGCAAAACCTGGATCCAGCCCATTGCCCTCTGGGTACAAATGAGAGCGTTCTGCATCCCAGCAGGAGCTTCCTCCCCCAAGGAAACTTGAGAGATGAATGAATGTCTCTAAGAAGAGGTGAGCCTCCTAGAGGCACTATGAAAGGGACAGAACATGTGCCCCTAACAGTGGTGTGATTTCAACCTCAGTTGGAAGATCTTTCTCAAGGTGAAGCAAAGAACCAATAGCTGAATGATACGTATTCACAGGGGTCTCTTCAACTGAACAGTGTATGCTGCCATTTTTCAAAGCTACTCAAAGAGGGAACCATCTTGTAGCTTCCTTGGCCAAAGGAGAAGTAAGAGCTCAAAGTGAAAGCGGCAACTTTATTCAACCATCAAGATCTGTTAATAAATGCTTATAGCTCCAGGCAGAATTAAGGCAGAGAATCCTTCCCATTAACTGCCCCACACTCCTGAAGCTTGACCAGTTGACATCACCTTAGTTTAGTATTGTCCTCTTCAGTTCTTTCCACTTTTCTTTAGCACCACTTCTCTTTGGCCGAGGTTTCAACTAATGCCTTACTCCTACAATCCCTAAAAGGTACCTGAGTTATATACAAATACGGTGTGAAGGGGTTAGAAGGTGGCCCCCATCAGGTTCACAGGTCGGCCACTATACCGTTTCGAGATATCAGCTTCAATCTGAAAAACAGAAGATCGAGTGTCAGGTGTGTCTTGGCAGCCAAATTAATATCAACTTTAGTCCAGAGGAAAAACAAAAATCTTTACTTTCTTCCTACTTTACCCCCTTAAGAGAATTAAATGGAGCTTGCAAAAGACTAGTGCAGGGAGAGAGGGGTTTTCTAGAACTTTCCTTGCAGAGGACCAATCCCTGACTTTTATTCATTTAGTGTCATTTGTAGGCCTTTCTCCCAATGAGGGGACTCAAGGCAACTCACAATGTTACAATAAGTAAAATTAAAAAGACAATAGATTACACAATTAAAAAGCAATTAAACTATAATAATTAAAACACATTAAATGATTAAAAACTAGTTAAAACATAATCATTTACAAAGGATTTTTTCTTCTACAAGGGATATAAAAGCAACTGGGCGAGGGGCTGGGCATATAGTTGAAAAATAACTCAGATGGAGCAAAATGAAGCACTGCTCGCCCAGCCGGTACACAGATTCAAACTGAAATAGGTGTCTTATGAAAAAAAGGAAAAAGAAAATAATTCAGAACTATACAGACGTGCTTCCAGCCTGAGTACCTCATATTTCAGATTAAGAGAAATTTGCCATTACTCTTTTCCGCCTCCCAGTTTCATACTTACTTTCTTCACTGGCTGAACTAGCATCCAGATTATCTCTGTGCCAAATTTTACCTCCACCAGATTTAACAAAATTCATGCTTCTGTCTGGGGTTTTCTCCTGTAAGGTTTCCTCGTATTTTTCCTGTGCATTCCACCATGGAAATTCCTCCATGGGAGGAGATTACAATTCATACAGCATTAGGTCATGTGGAACTGCGCCTAACATGGAACTGACCTACATACCTTAACAGATGGGGCTGGATACTGGGGAATCATCACCTTTGTGCCTCCCAATGCACTCACCAGTTTCTGTAAATCCTTGGTTTTCTGTACAAGGACATCAAGCTTTGGCTCTAGGTTGGCCTGTTCCTCCAGCGCATCCTGCCGCTTCTTAACCATGTGCTCCTTTTTTAAGAGCAGCAAGTCTGCCTGTTTCAATTTCTGATGGAGCAGCTCAGTCACACGGTCCACGTACCTGAATAACAAAACCACTCATGAAATCCCAGCAAGCAAACAACTGCAATACCAGGGGCTGGGAGTCTGATTCCCAGGAGAACAACCAGCCTATGTAGCCTTGGGCAAAGCTGCCCAGCATCATCAGGGTGCCCCCAGAAGAAAGGAATGGCAAACGACTTCCGAGTACTCTCTGCCTGGAAAACCCTGAAAAGAAAAAGAAGAGTTTGCCAACCTTGGGGAAGCAAGGATCATGAAAAGATGTTGCATTCGGAGACTGGTCAGACGGCCAATAAGATCTTGGATGGCTGCCATCATGGCCTCCAATTTTCCCTTAGTCTGATCCTGAAGGATGGGTGGGGCTAACTGGAACTGACTCATGGCTAGGATGTCTGCTTCTTCACTCATCTCAACAATGCGCTGTGAGAGGAAGATTTCCAGCTGGGAGAGATAAAAGAGAGGCTCAATATGAGGAAAACAGAGAAAGGAGGTAAGACCATAGAAGCTATTTTTAGGAATACAGTTCCCAGAAACCCTCAGCCCTTGTGGACATCTCAGCCTGAGGAATTGTGGGAAGTGTTCCTCCAAATGTAACATTCCGAGGCTCTGATGGACACCTGACTCTTAACAGATCTATATAAAGATAAAAGGCAGCAGGGGTCATGGTGAAGGGAAGGTTCCAAGGTTTTATTTGAGCAAGATCCTATTGTTCTTTAACCCTAAACTTTTTTCCCAGTGTAAAGGCTAAAACATGCAAAGCTATAGAGAAAGAAAGATAATTTCTATACATTGGCAAAAGTGCTTGGCCTTTCAAGGGGCTACCTAGATTCCATTCATTTTAGATTCTATGTGAAAAAGTAACACACATACTCGAACTGCAGGACTTCTCATTTTAGCCATGCACTGATTGTGATCCTGAGAAACAAGCTTCCTGGAACTGACTCTTGTCACTATACTAGACTGGTCTAAAAGCAACAGTAGGAATCACTGGCTGAGTAGCTCAGTGGTTTAGAGGTTAGGAGTTCAATTCCACACTTTACCTCCTGCAAGTAGAGCCAGCCCATGTAGCCTTGAGAACAAGTGTCCAGTTCCAGGATGTCCCCAGAAGAAGGGAATAGTAAACCAGCTCTATTCTTAACTGGAAAACCCTAAAAAGGGTCATCATAAATCAGAATTGACTAGATACCGGTAGCACATGATGATAATTATTAGGAACCATATGGGTCACAGACTATATGTGAATTCCAAGACCAAAGCATTTTTCCTGGTTGGGGGTGGGGGAGAACATACATCAGGGCAAAAAGCCAGGCGAACTGAGCCCCTGGATACATCATTCTCCTCTGAAACAAAGCATTTCCCCTCCTACCTTGTTTTAAGATAAATCTGTTCTCCTTCCCTCCCCCCGTAAAAACTGAATGTGCATTTTTTACAAAAACACAGAAGTGGCCTTTCAGTTCACTTACCTCCATAAGCTCATCAATGAACTGATTCCGGGTCTCTGAGGTTTCCAGAATGGTGAGAGCATCTGGCCCTTGTGCAATTCCCTCTGGGGCTGCATGGAAAAGAGAACGGGGTGGGGAAATGAATTAAATATCTGGGGTGAGGAAATGAATTAATTTGTCATGAAATTTCTCTATTTTAGAAGCCAAAGCCTTTAGAAGGCTTGCTCCTTCACCCTTCTACTTCTGCCCCAGATCTTGAAAAGTTACTTTTTTCAGATTACAGCTCCCAGAATCCCCCAGCCAATAAAGCCACCAACATGACTTTCAAAGGGGAAATGATAGATGATTATGCATTCATTTATTGCATTATATCCTGTCCTTCCTTCAGGGATCTCAAGGGGCCATACATGGCTCTCTTCCTTGTCACTTTATCTTCACAACAGAGAAGACTTCAGGCTGAGAGTGTTCAACCAACCCAAAGTCATCCTGTGAATTTCACGGTTGGGATGGAAATCTAGACCCAGCTCTCCAGAGTCCTAGTTCAACACTCTAACCATGCCGTTGCTTCCCATCCATAGCAAACCAAACAATCAATGACTTCCAAAAGGTCCTATCCTCTGTAGACTAGAAAGACATCGTTCACTTTTGCTTCTTGACTGTCCATTACAATTTGAAGTGTTTCTTCTACCATCTATCTGTTTTTCTTTTCTTTTTACTACTAAGGAATTTTATTTTGCATTTTCATCTAGTAATAGCTCTGATTTCATTCCGCAGTTCTTTTAGTTCACAGTCAATTAAGTAATGCAAATCTGTTCCTTATATGGACTTTAAATTATTATTCAAAAATGTTGTTTAAATCATATTTTCACACTACAATTTTTTTTAGTGTTCTTTTTCAGCTTTACTTTAATGATGGATATTAACAGTTCATGATCAACAACACAATCCATTCCTGGTTTTCTTTTGCCAGAAAGAATATAGCTTTTCCATAACCTACATGATGTCTATATTGACTGTCTGGTGATCTCCACATGTACAGCCATCTCTTTGCTTTCTTGAAGCATGTATTTGCAAGAAACAGATTGTTAGTTTTGCAGATATCTCTAAGTAATTCTCCGCAATCTTTTCTGTCCCTCAGGCCAAATTTTCCAGGAATATTTGGTTTTGCTTTGCTTTCTTCTTTTACATTCTAGTTCATCCTAGATTTCCTCTAGAACTCACTTTTTAAACAATGAATCAAGAGATCATTTTTTTTCAACGATTTCAATTTTTTTTCATTGTCCAGTTATTTAACATTATAATTATTTAATGCTCCTATAGTCATTTTTCCTCTTCTCGGTGTTCAGTCATAACCCATTTTATACTTCTCTATTCAGCCTTAATCAGCAATAATCACAGAACGTTTCTATTTTCTGTAATAATCTGGTATCCTCTGAATATTTTATATTATTCATATTTCTTCCTTCCATTTTGACTCTTGCTTCATCCAAATCTAATCAAGTTTTGGTCTGCAAATAAACTGAACAGGTAAGAAATAGTATACACCCTTTCCTGAGACAGCCATTCTGCTTCTCTATATTTTGTTCTAATCATAGAATGTTGTCCAAAGGACAGAGCTGTGCATCAGGGCATTCAGAGACTGTGGGATGTCTGTTTCTCTTAGGATAATCCTTAGCTTTTCTTGGTCAAAGGCTTTACTGTAATCTTAAATTTTCTTTAAAAATTATTTAGCATGCTCCAATAACCAATGTATTTGCAATATGATCTCTAGTACCTCTTCCTTTTCTAAGGCCTGCTTTTTAAATCAGGCATTTCTCATTCAATATAAGGGAAAAGTCTTTGTTGCAAAATCTTGGGCATCACATGGCTTGCACAAAAAAAGTACCGTATTTTTCGCTCCATAAGATGCACAGACTTTCCACCCCCCTGTTTTGTGGGAAAAAAGTGAGACTTATGGTGCAAAAAATACAGTATGTAATAATTCCTTTTCTAAGGGCTGCTTTTTAAATCAGGCATTTCTCATTCAATATAAGGGAAAAGTCTTTGTTGCAAAATCTTGGGCATCACATGGCTTGCACAAAAAAAGTATGTAATAGTGCAATACTTGCCACAAACTTTCATGCCTCCTTTGGAATGTAGATTGAATGTTTCCTGTTTGGGAACTATTGTTTTGTTTTCTGTATTTGTTGGCATACTAAATGCCAACAAATACAGTTGGCACTGCATACCAAGTGAAAGATCACAAGGAAATGTATACCATGTGCTGCTGCTTTGAGAGATGAACTGCCACAAGCTAGCAGAGAACAAAGCAACTTACAAACATGCATTTACACTTCACTTCCACATCCCTGGTCGCTTCACTACCAAGGACGTGGTGCCGCTGCGGGCTAAACCGCAGAAGCCTCTGTGCTGCAGGGTCAGAAGACCAGCAGTCATAAGATCAAACCCATGCGACGGAGTGAGCCCTGGTCACAGTAGATAAATAGGTACCACCTTGGTGGGAAGGCAAAACGGCATTCCCTAGTCATGCTGTCTTCAGATAAGCGCTGGCTCTACGGCTTGAAAACGGGATGAGCACCGCCCCCTAGAGTCGGACACGACTGGACTAAAAATGTCAAGGGGAACCTTTACCTTTACCTTCCTTCTGAAAAATTATCAAGTTCCAAGGCTATATGCCTGCAAAAAGAAAATCTACTTGTAAGCAGGCAAGTCACTACAACATGTATTTCTGAAATAAGAAGCGTAATAGCCTACGTGGGAACACCCATATACCAGCAATGAACAAAGGATTGCAAGGAAACCTGGGAAGAACTTGAACAAACCCAACAAGGAACAGCTATTGAACACAGAATGGTTTGTAGATACATTTTCTGTTTCTGGTACAGAAATATATTACAAGAATTTTTTAAAAGGTGAAGGCTTCCGGGAGTTTTAGTCCAAGAACACCTGAGGAAGAAAGGCCCCTGTAGGTACGCAGAAATGAATCCGAGGACTTCCTACTTGCCTTGCAAAGAACATTTTTACTGACCACAATATTATATTGTAACACTAAGAATTCTGTTTTCGTTTGCTTAGGTTTATTCTGGTTGTAGTGGTTACAAAGATGGTTGAAAAGACAGTGGGGAAAATGTAATCGAGGAAGAAAACAAAACATCTAGTTTCACTGTTAAAAACCTGTAAGTTCTATATTTATATTCTGCGATTTCTCAAGGGCTTGTGTGCATATGCAATTATTATTATTGTGGATTTTGGGAGTTACAGTCCAGAAAAATTATGTGTCCAAACTTCATTTAAGAATAAACTTCATTAATAGAAAAAAGAAGAAACAGGAAACACATATCCAACAGCACCCTCTTGTGTCTGCTTCCTTCCACATTTCTAACTCAGACACTATGTAAAAGCCAAGGTGGACACCATTATATGCTATAGCCAAAATCCTACTGGGAAATACTACAAACATAAGAGCAACTGCCTAAGTGGCTGCTGCATTTTGCCAGCTGCTGCCTGTGTGACCAGTTGGGTAACTGACTGGGGGATGATCAGGCATGTGACAGACAGCTGGCACAATGCCTTCTCCTGTATGCACAATTGTTCTTACACAACCACATAATGTAACAGGCTCCAGATCTGCATTTGCCCCTACAAGAAAAATATGGGCTTGGAAGCCTTTTATTTGCAATACTTCTGCATTTCAGGCCTGACAGACAAGCTGTTTGTCTGCCTTCTACCATCTCCAGGAATGAATCTTAGCCTATTCTTCTAAGATTTATGGGATCTCAGTTGCAGGCTAACTACCTTTGCTTCTTTCCTTCAAAATAAATTAAACCCCCAGTTCATATCGATAGGCAATTTTTTGCATTTTAATATATGAACTATATTAATAAATATATTTTCTAAATCCTGCAAGCGGAATCTGAAGGCCTTAGGAATAGACCTCAACAGATGGGAAACTCTGACATCTGATCGTTCAGCCTGGAGGCAGGCAGTACATCACGGCCTCTCCCAATTTGAAGAGACCCTTGTCCACTTCTGCATTTCAGGCCTGACAGACAAGCTGTTTGTCTGCCTTCTACCATCTCCAGGAATGAATCTTAGCCTATTCTTCTAAGATTTATGGGATCTCAAAACTACCTTTGCTTCTTTCCTTCAAAAGAAATTAAACCCCCAGTTCATATCAATAGGCAATTTTTTTGCATTTAAATATATGAGCTATAGTAATAAAAATAAGGAAGCAAAACCAGGGAGCTGGACAGGGGACAGATTGGATTTGTCTCCAGTGTGGAAGGGATTGTCACTCTCGAATTGGCCTCCTCAGCCACACTAGACGCTGTTTCCAAGTCCTCCATACAGAGCACGATACCATAGTCTTTCGAGACTGAAGGATGCCTACGGCCTACGGATTTTCTAAAATATTGGGGGTGTTTAAAGATGGGCATGAGATAATGGCAAAATGCAATACAGTATATTCTGCCATTATCTCACATGCAGACATCAAATCATAACCTCCAGGACTAGTACTGTACAGTCGCTATTTTAAAAATAAGAACTCAGAAATCAATCAAGATAATAGGACCTTTTAAAAAGCTCTCCCTTTAGCATGTTTTCAGTCTGGTTTCACTTTTTCCTTTATGGCAGGGTGGGCGTCATGTGACCTGAAGATCATAGGGGGCCCCGAGCTGTTTTTGCAGCCTTCCCAAGGCTCCCTTCAAATAATTTACAATCTTTATTTTTATTTAAAATTGTATTTCTTTACTTTGATTTCCTTAATCACAGAAAAAGTCTTCACTCAGATTTCCAGGTTTCTGGCTGCCAATTAATGAAAAAGGAAGGCAGGAAATACTTAATCTGAATTAAAACTCTGACAATCAGTTAAGGCAACTAAGGTAAATACTGTTTTAAATTAAGATAGACTGTAAACCATATTTTGATAATTAAATGGGTCACAAGTGGAAATAAACATTTTAAAAGCTGCAAATAAGCCACTGGGAGCTGTGCCAGTTTTATGGACAGCTTTTATAAGGGAGGTGGCCCCGGGGTTGCCCACCATTTTGGAATTTGTGCCTACAGGCAGCTGAGATGTCCACCCCTGCCTTGTGAGATTTCTCCCTTTGTCTACCCTGCCCACCCCATGGCCTTTTCAAAGCAACACCAACTTACACTTGGTTCCTTCCCTGCACAATTTATTTATTTATTTATTTATTGGATTTATATTCCGCCCCATAGCGCTACAAGCACTCTCCGGGCGGTTTACAATTTAATTATACAGGCTACACATTCTAGCCTCTGCCACAACACACCATGCTCTTTCACTGGGGTACGTTGTTTCTGCTCTGCTCCTGCACCAGTCCCTAAATGGAACTCTGGTAACATACCTCGGGAAAGGGCCACTCTGTAATAAAACTACACTTTTCTTACTCCAGACGAGCACCCCTGAAGTGCTACATAGGCATGATCTACAATTGCTGATGGAATAGGCTATTTTCATCATAGGGCCAGTCCAAAGACGAGCACCCCTGAAGTGCTACATAGGCATGATCTACAATTGCTGATGCAATAGGCTATTTTTATCATAGGGCCAGTTCAAGACATTTTGCTGCCCGAGACAAAAGAGAGTGGGGCCAGTCCAAGACATTTTGCTGCCTGAGACAAAAGAGAGCGCTCTCTCACTCTGTACACAGAAGCCAATTAGACTGGCTGTCGAATCTTATTGTTTTATTTCTTTATTACATTCACATTCCATTTTTCCTGCAATGAGCTCAAGGTGGCATATATAGCTCTCCTCATCATCATCATCTTTTCTTCACAACAGCCATGTGAACTAGGCCAGGCTAAGAATGTGACTGCTGCAGGGTCACCCAGTGACTTTTGTGGAAAAGCTGTGATCTGAACTCAAACCTCCCAAGTCCTAACACCAGCCATTACATTACACTCATTTCCTTATATCTTGTGATAGGACAGCATCATCCACCATGGCTGAGGGCAGCAGGCCAGCTTAGGACACAGAACAGACCACATGCCACTCATGGATATAACCTCCAAGAAAGTTAATGGTCAAAGGGAACAGGAAGACCATCCAGAATAATGTTGCTGTTGCCTTCCATCCTCTGCTGTGCATGATGGCTGCTCAATCTGCCTAGGAATAGCTCTCAGAGGTAACTCAGGAAGGGCAACATTCAGGAAGCAAAAGGGCAGGCCTTAATTCAAGGGGGTAATCCTTGGGACACAGCATATATTCTCCTTACCACAAGTAAGAACAGCAAAGACACATAACAGACGAAGAAAAGGACTTCTGAATCAAATGGTATGGCTTCCAGATAGATCTGAGCCCTGTGTTTACCAATCAAGAACAGGTACAGAGATCATCATACCCTGCTGAAGGCCCTGAAATGAATTCCACTTTTTCCTGTTGCCTTAAATTCATGCACGGTTTATTGCCAGGCTTTTTGTCTCAATTCATTTCACCTTGGGCAAGCTAGCTCTGAACAATGTCTGCAGCCTACTCATGTCCATCCAGAAAACGCAAACCAGAGGCACTTACCGTCACTGCCAGCTTCCAGCACCATAATCTGAGCCGTACCATCACTCCCATCTCCCCAGTCTATGCCTCCAGCAGCGTTCTCCTACAAGAAGGCAAACCCAGACTAACTCAGTCACTGGCATTCTGCAAGGAGCCTGGAGGTCTGCACAGCTGTGCTCACATTATAAGGCTGCATGTCACTTCAGCAGGTCCCAAGACCTTAACTTTTACATGCCTACAGAATCCAACTGAAAAATTGCCCGTCGTAAGCCTGTTCATGTATATTTCTGCAGCAAATTGGCATAAGTTTAAAAGTCAGCACAAGCATTTGCTGTTGCACAGCAAATGGCACAGCCAGTGTGTGACAGCAAATGTCTACACTCATTGTTTAATGAGTGAGAATCTACAAACGCAATTTCCACCAATAGACTTAAGCTAGCAAGTACAAGTGACATGATTCTGGCCATTAAGCTTCTGACCCATGTTTGCACAGGAAACCTCAAGAAAATGTTTTTGTCTTATAACATTTATGAAATATTATGCTAGTGTGAGCTGGGTATAGGCCACAGCCCAAAGTCTAGTTTAAATTGGGATGGGCACCTTCAGAGATTTCAAAGTCCAATTTTCCATCATCTGAACCTGCTTCAGGGCACGCCAGCAATACCTGCCAAGACTGGTAGTAATCAGACCTCCACTTCTGGTTTCAGAAACCTGTTATCTTTTTACCTTTTTTAAGAAAATAAAAATAAAACAAGAGTTTGCAGGAGCTTCTGGTCTTAATGGAGAACTGATTTCCCAGAGTGTGGTTCTCCAACTATTTTCAGAAGGTGGCTCCTGGGACAACAAAAAGGGGCTGCCACATTTGGCCCTTGGGCTACAGGATGCCCACTCCCTAGAGGCTGGGCACTGGCTGAATGTAAAGGGCAAGAGGTGGAAAGGATACCCACTTGAGCTTCGAACTCGAGAGAAATCCCCCAGTCTATCTCCTCACTTGCTCCTTCAACCGAGATGCCACAATCAACCGCCTCAACTGTAGATGTTGATTCTGCTCCAAAGTCTCCCCAGTCAATCTGCAACCAGAAATATAAGCATGGGTTTCACTAAACAATTTAGACTTTGCGTTAATAAATACCTTAACTCGAGATACCTTTACAAGTTTTCTTTTTCCTCCAAAGAAGCTATCACTAAGGTTTTAAATCCATACAATCACATTCTTCTTGTTCTTAAGGATGTGCATGCGTACAAACACAGCCTCTGAAATCATCCCAGGCTCTTTTCCTCAGCTTTTGGAGACTTTCAATTACCTGGTCTTAGCAGCTGCTTTCCACACCTATACTAGATAATGTTAGTTTCAAGTGATATTTCAATGAATTTTGTAAACAAATATCTTATATTTACAGTGGTGCCACGCTTAACGGGCACTCCGTTTGACGACGAAATCACTAGATGTCGATGTTTTTGCGATCGCAAAAGCGATCGCAAAACGATGTTCCCTATGGGGGAATTTCGCTTTGTGATGATCAGTTCCCTGCTTCGGGAACCAATCATCGCAAAGCGATGATTTTTGGCCAACTGATTGGCGGTTTCAAAATGGCCGCCCGCTCTTTTCTGGCACGGATTCCTCGCTGCACAGGCAGCGAAAATGGCTGCACTATGGAGGATCTTCGCTGGATGGTGAGTTTCAAGCCCCTAGGAATGCATTAATTGGGTTTTAATGCGTTTCTATGGGCTTTTAAAAATCGCATTACGACGTCTTCGTTTTACAGCAATTCCGCTGAAACGAATTAACGTCGTAATGCAAGGCACCACTGTAACTTCATTTTCTTGTAAATCACTTTGGGATGCCTTTGGTGTGACTTCCATAAAGTGACACATAAAAATATTAAACTAAACAATGGTGAATCATTCCCTTTTCTGAAGCTACTCACAGAAAAGGATACAAAGTGTATGAATTGTCGTAACAATGACCCTGACCCTTCATATTCTTATTTTACAAAATCTGGGTAGGGAAAGAAGCTAAGAGAAAGAGCTAAACCCAATACCATTCACAGAATTAAAAGGTGTGTGGTGCAGTGGTGCCTCGGCTTACGGACAGCCGTACTTATGACCATTCCAAGTTACGACCAGCACAAACCTTTGACTGAGGGGGTCTGTGTGCCCTACTGATGACCACCTTTCTTTCCGCTTTTCCCCATTGTTCCCTCCCTCCTTTCCTGCCCTTTTTTAAAATCAAAGTCATCTTAGGTTAAAAAAGGTCTCCCCCTAGTGGTAGTGGACAGATGAACCACTTTTCCATTAGTTCCTATGGGAACAAATGCTTCAACTTGTGACCGGGACCTTGAGATATGACCCAAAAATGGCTGGAACAGATTAATCGCGTTTCAATGCATTCCTCTGGGAAATGGTGCTTCCACGTATGACCATTTTGAGTTACGACCATCTTCTGGAATGGATTAAGTTCGTAAGTCGAGGCACCACTGTACTTCTATCCGAGCTTGCAGTGATCCCAGTTTGTCTTGTTACACAGCAACCTTGCAACATCAATACACTGAATTGATCCTGGAAGGACATAATTCAGCACTCATAACTGTTTTTCTAGGCAAACTATCATCATAGTAAATAAGCCATTTTACAAAAATCGATCAGCTTGGACCCCAATTCACCCTTTTGTCCAATCTAATGGAGGACCCTGCTAGAAGGGAAGAGAGGAAATTGACTAGTTTTTCCCTGATGAACTTCCAACACCCCCCATACTATTATTCCCCAACCTTCCAGTGCTGATTTTCAGAAAAGAAATGGGAAATTTGTGAAAAACACTTCATCTCCTTCTGCCGGTTAAAATATCCCATAAGGCGAATTTTCCTCACTAAAGTTTAGAACACAAGATGTAGATTCTGTTCTACAACTTATCATATATTTGTTATTTATGTAGTCTCCGTGACTATCTTCTGGAAGAAAAGGATCCAAGCCACGTCTCCCACAATTTGATGTGGAAAGAATGTAGAAAAGGTTGGGCATTGTTGCTTGTTTGTTTGTTTTTTGCCTCTCCTTCTTTCCTAATACTAGAGACTTTGGGTTGTCCAATGGAATCAATGAGCAAGTAGGGGATTCCCCAGCATTACCGAAAATACAAGAGACCGAAACCGGCACTTTCCACGTTCAAAGGAAATGCTCTGCTACTCATGAGTTGGAGGTCTGAATGTTTATGAGACTGACTAACCTTATGTTCTTAGACTTGATACCAGCTACATAGGGAGAGAAAAAAATCATTTCATAATAAGCAAATCATTCAGTGGTATGCAAGTTCAAAAAAGCCCTGCATTGGTCACCTTCTCGCAGGGTCCATTATACAAGCCATACACGTTTCACTGTAGCCACTACGATCTCCTTCAAGTAGACCTACCGCATCCTTATCTACAACTTGCTGCACTGCCTCTGTCCTTGGCCGTTCCACTGAGGTTGGCTTGACTCCTCGCCGCCACTCATAAATGGTAGTGTTGCCCCGAGCCTGCACATGCCGCAGTAATGGGACCACTTCCTCTGTGGAACTGGTGCAAAAGATGAACATCAAGGATGACACAAAAACCAGGGCATCAAGAAGCTCATTCCTGATCAAAATATATTGACCACAGCTTACTATATTTTATAGCAAACCAAAGATTCCCCAAAATTAGGAATATCGCTATATAGCCAGTGTGATGGCAACGACTAGAGCATTGGACAGGGACCTGAGAAATTCAGGTTCTAGTTTCCATTGACTTTTAGCCAGACACACTGTCTCTACCTGACCTACCATGAAGGTTTGTCACAAAGCAGAAAGGTGAATAGTGGTATATAACCATCTTTTTCAGCGATCTCAGCAAGTCAGGCTCCAAGTGATTTTTTCTTTAGACTGCAACCCTATGTGCAAGTTACTTGGGATGTTAATTCTCCAGTCCTATACATATTTAATCAAGAAGTAAGTCCCAATGAACTCAGTGGAGCTTACCTCTGAATAGGACAGGATCATTTTTTTTCTCCTGAAATTAAGTGTATATTTTTTACAAATAAACATGCCTCTGGTGAGGCCCAATTCCTTTTCTAAAAGCACTATGAAAAGTATACTTAAATAGCCCACTCAAAATAAAATAAAAATATACAAAATCTGTAAGATTAAAAAATCTGTAAGATTAAAAAAATCAAAGCTTGGAAAGTTACCTCTTACCTTCACAAAGAATGAATATAATTAGATTCTGAAGTCAACCACAACCGAGCAGTGATAAGACCAGCGCACCATCCAACTACTACTCAGTTATAGATGGTTTCAACTCTTAATATATTCATTCTTTTTAAAGGTAACATCTCAACATCTGAAAAGAGAAAAATACTATAAGACAGGAACAACAACAACAACAACAAAAGGGCACCACAAAAAGCAATAAAGGAATCAGGCCCCATCCAAAGCACATCATATTATTCCCATTTTAATGAAGTGGGGAAGGAAAATCGAAGCTTAACTGTTTCCTAACTCCTCTTGGCAGGGAAAAGGAGATCTAAGATCCGCTGTTGTCATGGAAAGATTTATAAGTATTGAGTAGCTAACATGTTTTGGGTAGCACCTGTTAGGTATTCCCTTCTTCACAGCTTGATGGTGGAACAGAGTCGTGGAAATCTCTATTGGTTGCATTAGCAGTGAAGAAAGGGAGTTTGGTCTGAAATGTGTGAACTACTCATAGCCTCTTTCCCTTAGAACACTGAAATGAGGCCCTCGTTTTTTTACATGCAGCAGGTTCTACTTTTTTCATGTCTGCCAGAAGTAGCTACTCAACAGAAAGAGTATAAAGACCTGGTGTATGGGGGTAGCTAGGAAGGATGGACATAGTAGCTCAACACTTGTTATGTCTGCCACGTTGGGGAATACTGCCTCAGAGAATAGGATGCTTCCGTTGTGAACCAGACCGTTGGTCTATTCAACCACCCTGTGCTCTTTATTATGGCCAGAAAGAGAGGTTTCTTTTCCAGGGGCCTTTTGCAATCCTGCTCTCAAACCCTTCTCTAACAGGGGATGCCAGCATTTAGACCTTTGGCTGTGCTGCACCACTCACCTGCCATTCGCCTCAAATTGCATCAGCAGCATATCTAAAGCTATTAAGGAGACCATATGGCAGGGGGATATTGTACATCCCCAAACCAATTTTTATCACCACCTGTCACCCCAAAACCACTGTGTCTGAATTTGGCAGTGAATCAGGACAATGAAATCGGTTGGCAAACTATGAGAAGCTCTTAAAAACCAGCAGAAAATGCAGCTTGTGTTGGGATTGTGAAACTGGCCCCTGGACCTGCCAAAATGGCCCACTATTTGCAAATGAAGAACCAAAATGATTTCAGAATCCATTCAGCTTACTAGCTCCTACCTGTCACATACAAACTGCACACAGGCCTGGTAAAGGTTGATAGCTTCCAAAAGCCCACTAGCAGCAGCCCCAATATTATTGAGCTGTGATGGTAAGTCTTTCACCAAAGCCAAAAGCTCCCGGTGTACGTTGTCTCCCTGGGAACAAAACAAAACAAAACAAAAGGCACAGGGTGATGTCATTCAAGAGTGGATTTATCCATGTCCTCTGTAGGATCATGAAAGTGCTTCCAGAATTATTTCCACAAGGTCTAGAAAATTGATTTGTTTCTTTTAAACACCACTACCCTAGTGGAAGTTCACAATCCGCATATGGAACAAGATAAAGTTGATAAGCAAAAAGCATAAACAGCAGGAAGTCATGTGTGATTGAGATCTTCAGAGAAAATAAGGTGTGCTTTTTTGTTGGTAGAATGGGAACAATTTTATTGGAACAAAGAATACTGTTAACCTTTTGAGATTCTGTGGTTGTAGATGTCTGAACATGAACTATGAAAGATCAAAATTATTTATTAACTAGTTACTTTTCTGAAAAATAAGCTCCTTGCTTTTACAGTGCCACAGCAAATCTGAAAATAAGCAATGTCTTCAAAGGGGTTCAGAATCTGAGAGTGACAGCTCATATGGCTTCATATTACTCACATCTCTCTCTTTTCCCTCAGACATTGTCTGCCATATACATACATCCAGCTACGGTAAATATTGAGTCTTCCATGCTGAATGCAGCCAAGTTGACTTCCCTTGTTCTTGTGTGCAAGCTTCTTATTTGTTCCTCTCATAATAGGACCAATTGGTTTGTTACAGGAGTAATCTGGAAGTTGAGTCATGGCAACCATCGCTATGCGAGGCACCACTGTAATCTGGAAGTTGAATCATGGCAACTTATTAGGTTGAAACATTTCACTACTCATCCAAGTTGCTTCTTCAGTCTGAGGAGAATTGGTAGGAGACCCCTGATATATCCTTGTTCTGGTGGATGTGGTGAAAAACTACTGCTAACAACTGTTAATGACCCATGACAATGGGTGGAGAAGGACTGCAGAAGCAGGATTTTCCCTCCCCCCCCCCCCGAATCTAACAATCTATTCAGACTAGGGGGAAGTGAAACCAATGTGGAGGATATATCAGGGCTCTCCTACCAACTCTCCCTTAGACTGAAGAAGCTACTTGGATGACTAGTGAAATGTTTCAACCGCAGTAGTGAAATGTTTCAACCAAATAAGAAAAAAATCTAGTTGCCATGACTCAAGTTTCCAGATAACCTCAGCTGGATGACTGAGAATCTTCACAGATTTACAAGAGTAACATTTCTACATTCTAGCATTAAAAATTATGTGTTGGTGAGAGGTACAGCTGCACAGGTATGATGGAATAAACCCAGAAGTCAACCCAGTTAATTCTGGTACAAAGAGAGGTTATTTTGGGGAGTCATAGCCTCCAAAGCAAGGTGTGCACATGCTGTATCCATTTAAAAAACCCGTAAATGTTTGCTGGTGCAGTAAACTCAGTGGTGGGCTGTAAGTGACCCTTAAAGGAAAGACAAAAACAGCTTAGTGGCCTCCTTTGCCTTAGTAGAAAATTGCATAATGTCTCTGGCACAATGGCTTCTTTCTACTGAGCTGTGCACCTTGGACAGGTACATCCAATCACGCTGCACCCCAATGGTAGCCCTGATTACTAGTGGATTGAAGAGAAAGAGGTGGACTTTACCAGCCCCTTAATTAGGACTGGCACTCTGCCATCAGTTTCAAAGAAGACTGAGAGCTGAGGGGGTAGAAGGGCTCTGTACCGTAATTCCATACTGCTTGCAAGAAGTGTAGAAGCGCTCCCTCATCTCACTAGCTGCCAAATGATACTCCTCTTCCTTGCGGCTGTATTCCTGCTGCAGCTGCTGACACTTGCTGATCTGCTTCTTGAAGGAAGGGATCTCATAGCTGACATTTCGCACTAGGAGGCTGGCCAGTTCAACTGCAGGCAAAAAAATGAGTGCAAAATATATGTGCTTTTGAGTGTGGATACATTTCAGTTTCTACAGAATGCCAGCATACACTGAAACAGGCAAGCTATACCAAGCACGCAAAGTAATAGGAAGGGGTTGCTAGCGTCTGCTCCTGAGCTGTACTAACTCCTGCAGAAGAGGTGTCAAGCTGGTGTCACTGGCCTGTTCAAAGGTTTGGTCTCAGTTATCTTAGACCCCCAAGCCAAGATAACACCTTTTCTAGAACAGCTGGGATATGACAATTTCCCGGAGTCCAGACTATTAGCAATCATAACTTAATCTAGTACCTCCTGTTCACAGACATTATGTCTACTATAAGTTAGGGATAAACTACATGGGATTGTTCCTGCCATCAGGCTTGTGGTACCCAACTAGTCACTGAGGGACACAAAGTGCTCAAACAAATGGCGTGCTTGTTACACCAGGAAGACAGCTCTTAAAAGGGGAAATGAGCTATGATGTACTTTCCTCTTAAAGGCACTTTTATAATATTTTGTGATATGAAACATACTATTAATTATTATTGTTGTTGTTTACTTGATTTATATATCACCTATCTGGCAGCCAGGGGCACAAATAGCATAACAGTCTTTCAAAGAAAGGCTAGGTCACCATTCTAGGAAGCATTTATTGTTATCACAGTGGGGCATTCTAAAAATCAAATAAGACAAAATTCTAGAGGTGTTTTTTTGGTTGGTTGGTTAGTTTTCTCTAGCCTCCTCCTTGTGTCATGTCTTTGTAGACTGTAAGCCAGAAGGCAAGGGTTTTCTTGTTTTCATTCAACTCTTATGTTGCTCTAGGAGCATTTCAGATTGAAAACAAGGGTATACGTACTTTTAAAACATAAACAGTCAGTGCAAAGCTTACAGGCTCCTGGTTTCAGAAAATAATCCAGAAAAAAACAGCCACATCTATTTCACTATTGTATCTGTGTGTTGTCTCTGCCCAACACATAACAGTTGCCTTACCCAAGTAGGTGTTGTCCTTTTCATACAGAGATACAATTTCTTGCCAGTCCTGGAAAAAAAGAGACAAAAAAGGGAGAGAACACCACAATAAACAGTTTGTGGTGTCACGTCTTCTAAATCTGTATGTTGGACGGCCAGAATACAATTCTGAAGGGTAAGGAGGAAGATCCGTCCAGAGTATCTTTCCTCCAGAGTATCCTGCCTTTTCCTAGGAAAAAACGATTGCCCAGGTAGAAAAAGCATCTTTATAACCCAATACAAGGAAAGATAAGGCAGAAAATAAGAGAGAAAGAAAATAGGAATTTCTAGAGTGAAGGAATCCAGAAAAAAGATAAAAAGAGAAGATATGCAAGTCCTCTAGAGTAGGGTGGGCTAGGCTGTAGGACATGGGCCGACAACTTGTGGTGCTCCAGGTGTTTTGGGGATCCCTCACAACTAGCTATAATACGTAAGACTTGTGTGAGTTGGAAGTCCAACAACATCATGAGGCCCCAAGTTGCCCATTCCTGCTCTATCTTAGTGGTCCATCTGCTTACTTTGCTCTTGACAGTGCAGGAACTCAAAATAAATGGGCTTCAATTCTCCTCAGACACGAAAGGGACTGCCAAGTGTTTCAAGTTTTGCCTGACATCTATGATGGAAAGCACAGTATATAAGTCCCAAACTATCCCACCAGATATTATTTCCAAGATTTTTTATTCTGTTTTATGAGAGTCAGAGTTTCATGGAATTTCTATGAACTTCTGCCATTACTGAGGTGACATCTTCTAGCAGCTCCTTTACCCCCGTTGCTACAGAGTTTCCCAGACTGGACAGACAGATATTGATGTGGGTTTCTCTTCCTCTGCATGCTCACTAACCTTCATACGTTGAGAAGAGTAGCGACCAAATATATTTTTAGTTGAGGCTTCTGTCCCTTTAAGGATGTCCACAATCCTGAGGCAGTGAAAATAATGAATATCTGGAATGACAGAGAGAAGATCTGTTCTGTTCTGATCAACTACCATTTTCTCCCTGTGAGTCTCATCTTTTCTTTGTCCAACCCAGCTCAGAAAATCCTAGACCTCTGACTTAGGCACCTAAAAAACACGATTTGATTTTTTTTTTTTTATTACTGTCTGCCAAACACTCACAGGAACCAGAGAGAAGCTGTTTGATCTCTTCATTTTCTGGCATGTCCTGGATGGCCACAGCGATCTTCTCACGAACAGTGCGGACCTGGGCCTGCCATTTCAGGTTGCAATGTCGTCTATCCACCAGCCAGTCTACAGGGGAAAAAAGTTACTCATATTACGCTACTCTTCTCAGTCTTCTATCTTTCTGAGGTCGGTAAAATGAGTACCCAGCTCACGGCGGCAATGTGGAGCCTGCATAATTAACTTGCAAACAGCCCAGAGAGTGCTTGAAGCACTATGGGGCGGTATATAAGCAGCATACTTTTGCTTTTTAAAACACATATTCAGAACAACCCTCTTTCAGGCCAAAGACATTTTGCTGGCTGAGGCAAAAGAGCACAAAATGATGTGTTACATCAAAGGCTGATGTGAACAGTAGCCAAAGCCAGCCAAATTATTTTGCTACATGAATCAGAAAAACCTATAAGTATCTCCTTCTATCCATGGCAATGAAATATAATAATATCACAGTAAATAACTAATAATTTGCTGCTCTTTTGTGAAATCCAAAATCTGCTGCTTGTAACCACCATCTCAATCACTAGTTGTGGGGTTTGCCTATAATTCCAGTTGCAAGAGACCACTACATGGGGTGAAAGAGGAAAACATTTTGCAATAAGGGCTTGGTTTTAAAACAAACCTCTCCCATCCAACCACCTTAAGAGAGAACAGCCTTGTTTTACTTCCTGTTTACAGTACTTGTGAATAGGAAAAACAAACAAAACGGAACATACCAAGCAGCTTGCTAGTTTGTATATCAATTGGCAGGTTCTGATAATCCTGCTGGAATAGAAAGAGAGACAGAATGAAAAGCCTCAAGGAAAAGTATATTCAATGGAACAACATGTTACTGATTTGCTGAATTCCCTGCTGGCCGAGTAGATGACCTGGGAGGGGAAAAGTACACTCACCATGAAAGGAGATTGCCAAATTCTACTCTTCACATCTGAGGAAATGCTGAACTAGAATAGGAACAGTTCAACGCAAGTAAAAGTTGGAAGGCATGTAACTCACCTGCATGATTGCCACTGGGTCTGATGTGAAAAGAAGTTGCTTCTCTTCCCGATTCGCCCCTTCCGCATCGACAGCCAATCGACAGAGACGCAGGGCCGAGTCCTTTCCCCGCAGCCAATCAAGGAGGTACGTTCTGCCCAACCATTTTGCAAAGCGAAAGGAAAATGCCGTAAAGGCCACGCAGCCTTTTTTCTGATTGGCTGGCGGCATTCACTCATGAAGAAAGAAAAGCGGGGCAGAAAGGGAAAAGTTCAGCAACAGAGATTGGCCACCAGGAGGCGCTCGAAAATGTAGGACTTTGTATTTTTTGAAATAGAGAGTTTTTTCCTATATGTTTAATTTGTTGTCGACGTGTGACTCCTCTGCACGTGCATTTAGAGAGAAAGCAAGAGTCGAAGGCCAGTAATTATAACATCGAAGGCAGAATGTAAGATGTCACAGACACCGCAAAATCGCCCCCTCATCTGGGTTGTCGCCTGTTTTTCACTGCCTGCCCTATTGTACCAGTTTTTAGAGAAGTAACTGTGTTAGCCTGTTTCAGCAACAACAAACACATAATTATTGTGCACTGCTAACAGATTTTGGTTATGTGAGTTGTAGTCAGTTGCAATCCTTGAAAACTCACTGAGATAAATCTGTTAAATTGCTACAATATTCTGCTTTTTTCATCTTCTCTTTCTTTCCTTCCCCCTCCCTTAATTTTGCCAAATTACATCATGTGTATAAGGAAGTGGATTGTAATCCATAAAAAAATCACATTAACTTAAATTTGTTGGTCTTTGAGGTTCTACAGTAGTTTTGCTTTGTTGGTGCTCCCCCTTTTTTTCTTGCAGTTCTGTCCCCGAGCTTTCCTGGCAGTGAAGTGCAGTAATAAAGGGGGAAATCTGTTGATTTCCTGCATATTTTGTAGTTGTTGAAGGAAAATAAACTGTTGGGACTAAGGATCAAAACAACTTTATAGCATCAAAAGAGAAATTGTGCAGATGCTGTTACAAAATAGTAAGATGAGATTTCCCCTGAGCATGTATAAAGTGCCACCAGTGGGAAACTTAAGACAGCTTCAAGACGTTTGAGATGGTTAGGTGGGTATAAGGTTCAGACAGAAAGTAGAGCTTCTAGTGTCGCAATTAATTTTTATTAGTTACAGTTATATCCTACTTTTTCTTCAGTAAATTGAAGATGAAATACATAGCTTTGCTCCTCCCCACTTTACAGCCATGTGAATTGGGGCAGGTTGAGGAAAAATGAGTAGCCTAAGGTCACCCTATAGACTCCACTAACCAGAGATTGCAAAAATTCAGGTTCAGCTGTCTGTTTAGGCATACAGTAGGATGATGTGCCACATAATTTCTCACAAGCTTATTTTTGAGCAGATGTTCCAGGTTTTAATTTTGATCAGTTACAACATTTGGTTCTGAAGCATGTGATTTCAAGATACCCTATCCTGGGACAGAAGATAAATTAAAGCTTTGGACTTGTAGGTGAATTGCACAGCAATCATATTAAACCTCACGGTTTCCATTCAGTTTGCTTGTTTGTTTTAACCTGAGGTCATAATAAACCTTGTGCATTATAAATGTGTATTATACAATACAAATGTGTTTGTCTCAAACACTGGCTACATATACACTTACTAACAATTTTATGAGTCCTATTATTTTTTCATCTCATCACTTTCTCCGTATCAAGTAGGGGATGCTGGCCTACTCTAATGGTAGACTGCTTTCCCTACATAGCTAGACTATGGATCCCATCAGCTCTAACCAGCATAGCCAGAGATGAAGGTTCATGGGAGGTGCAGTCTGACAACATCTGGAAGGCTAGACTATGGATCCCATCAGCTCTAACCAGATGGGTTAGAGGTGCAGTCTGACAACATCTGGAAGGTGACATGAGTGAGTGCGTGGGACAAGAGCAATATGAGTTATTTCTTTCTTGAAATGCTGGGTTTCCACACTGAGCAGGAAAGGAAGCAGGCTGCTTTTACCCAACCAACACAAAAGACTAGGTTAAAAGAAAGAAAGAAGTGGGAGAAACCGGTCTAGCAAGTGATAGGCGAGCCAGAGTCTGCTTTCACTAATCCTCAAGGAAAGAATAGCTTTAAAAGTACTATAGTCCAACCAGGCAAGGGAGGTCTTAACTCTTTCGTGGCAATGATGAACAGGGAGACGGGTTGGAAATTCACCCCACACCCCATGGGAACTTAACCCAAGAAGATCTGTCAGTAGGGCTCAAACCCAGGCTTCTAAAGGTTATTTTATTCATTTGTTTAGCAAGTTTACCGTATCTGTTTTGCCTTTCCTCCGAGGAACTCTAGGTGGCATATGTAAGCCAAACTCATTTTATCTTCACAACAGCCTTTTGAGGTAGGCTGCCTCTCTCTCTCTCTCTCTCTCTCTCTGTACCATAGGACTTTCTGGTTTATATGGCAAAGAAAAAATAATGCAATTTGGATTTAGTGTCCAAAAGACAATCTGATTGTGAAGATCAGGCTTGGGTTGCCTTTTCAAAATAATTCTTTACTAGGTCAGCAGAAGGGATCAGGAGAGCATTAGCTATTTCGCAAAGGCTTATGATGGAGAGACCATATTTTCCATGAATGGGTTGAAGCTAGAGCTTGGGAATGTCACCAAACTAGCACAGACTGGAGGATTCTGGGAGTTATATATATTTTAAATGTGACATTTTCATCCATAATTGAAGTCAATCCAAAACAATAAATACCTTGTGCCACCAAAAATGAGCTGAAGTCCCATGCTAAGGAAGCTGAGCTTTTTGGCTAGAAAAGCTTAATTTAAAAGGCAAATATGCATGCAGATTGCAAATTATGCATGTTTTTCATAGTTTGTTCTTCTGCTTATAGTCGTGAAAAGAGATTAGTCTGGGCATGGAAGTAACCACTAGTTCCTTTAATAGTCATTGCTTGGGTGTTTTAGAAGACCCATCTTGCTAAACGATGGGGTGGATAGAACCACCCCTGCGCTTTTCTTTGCACAGTATCAAGAAGACTGACCTCTGTCAAATTTAAATTGCAGGAGGCAGTATGGTAGAGTAGTTAGAGTGTGTTGGCCTGGAATTTGGGAAACCTGGCTTCTGTTCTGCACTGAATCATAAAGTTCATTGGCCAGTCTTGAGTTAGTTACTTTTCTGTCTTGGGCTTGCTGAACTGACTACCATGACTTTCACTGAAGAAAGGTGGGATACACATCATATAGATAATACAGGAGCACTTTGGATGATAGGATAGGAAAGATATTGATTTTCTGCTCATGGTACTCTTTGAAGAACAGAACCAGTGGCCCTCCATACTGGACTTGTGTTCCCATCAGCCCTTGACAATTTGGCTACTGGTGAACAAACCTGGGAGTAATCATTCTTATACACCTGTTTATCGGGGGGGGCTATTTCCCCAGCTCTGGTTAATCAGGACATGCACATTAGTGCAGTGGTCTCCAAACTTTTGAGCATGAGGGCCACGTCATATATTTTTCACATTTTTGAGGGTCGAAGGAGGGAAGGGGGACCCAAGCGTTCCCCCACCCCCACTGTCTTTGCAAAGACAGTGAGAGTTGGGGATCGCTTGGGTCCCCTTTGCCTCCTCTTCCTATGCCCAGGCTGGATAAAAAGGCAAGGCGGGCTGGATGTGGCCCGCAGGCCGTAATTTGGAGACCCTTGCATTAAATATTTATTTATTTATTTAAATTATATTTACCCCACCTTCTAAAAAAGGACACAAGGCGGCTTATTAAAAGCTAAAGCAATATATTATTCAAATATTTAAAAATAATTAAATAAACATATTAAAAATCACTTACATCAAAGTGATTCTGGCTTACAGTGACCCTTTCCAGAGGATAGAAGGTACCTAGAGGTGGTTTGCTGATCCCTTCTTCTGGGGACTGCTGTAGGACTGTGCAGCTTGCCCACGGCTAAGCAGTCTGTCTCTTCTCCTGAGAGCCATAGTGGGGAAATGAACTCTCAAGCTTTGGCTCAGTAGCCAAAAGCCAACTCGCTGAAGTTTCAAGCCAGTGTGAATATTAAAAGCACTCTATGAATACTGTACAAATAACAAATGAGAATCAGTGTGTTCTAGTGGGTAGGCTGATGGACTAGGACTCAGGAGACCTCAGTTGAAATCCCTACTTGGCCATGGAATGTCACAGTGGGGTGCCACTGGTAAAACCACTCCTTAAAGGCTGAAATTCTGTTGCTTAGCATAGTACGTCACACTGGAGTTGGCTCACTGAATCAGTGGGGATTTGTGTGAGTCAATTTCCCCATTAGTTCCATTGATTCAGTGGGACTATTCTAGTACAACTTACTGCACTAAGGAACAAGACTGCAGTCTAAACATACCTTAAAAACTCTCATAAAATGGCTGTAAGTCATATGTGAATGGATATCATGTGACAACATAAGTAAATAATGTCAGATTGTTAAAATTATGAGATTATGCAAGCATACTGATTGGGGGTGGCGCATCTGTTCCCATAGAAATCCTTCAGCTTGTTTGCCCCAGTATTAGATATGCCAGATGAATGGCTAGCATGGGTCAGATGAACCTTCAGAGAAGTTTCTGTCCCTTTTCTAAACCCTGAGAGAAAGAGGTGTGATTAGGAAGCAGGAAGGTAACCCTTCTGATGTAATGCTGCCATCACTTGCCACAATAGCTTCCATGCATGTAATTCGGGCTGGTCTCTCTTTAATTAAATGGATAGGATGACGCCAATTTGGGACTACAGAGTGGGAAAAAATGCCTGCGAGCAAAGGGTTTTCTGCCTTTCCTGGGACATTCTGTCTTTAAGGTCATAACATTCTGGGCAAGTTAGCATGTATGTTTGTGTCCTCCATGTTTGACAATCCGTTTCCATGGCACCAAGCTGTGGGTTAATGTGTGTGAATGAGTCATCCAAGGTCAAGCTGGAAGGACAAAGATTTTGTTTTCCCTGGTACAGATAAAATATAGTGGCAGTCTTAAATGGATTCTCTTCCCACAGTCAGCTGTGAGTCACCAGCTCTGGAGAAGGAAAACATTGCTCGTGGATGACTTGGCAGAGCTTGGAAATGTTGCTTTTTGGAATACACCTCCCAGAATCCACCTGGCCATGCTACTAGAAAAATTCACATTGAAATAAATCTGTTAGGCCTAGAGATGTAATATTTCTGAAAATGTCCATTTTTTCTGGAAAAAAAACTGAGGAAATGTCTTTTTTTCTGGAAAAAATAAATTATTGAAAATTTTACATTAGGCTTTAAGTACAGTACTTTCCCCCTCCTCCTTTGTTATATCAAAACATAATTTTTCTGTACTCAGACACTGAAATAGCATGGAGGGTGGGGTTGATTAGGGGAGTTCAGGTTGAAATCTCACAGAGCTGCTTAGATTGGTTATGCATCATGATCTAAAACACATTTGTATTCTCAAAGGCTTTCACGGCCAGGATCTGATGGTTGTTGTGGGTTTTTCGGGCTCTTTGGCCATGTTCTGAAGGTTGTTCTTCCTGACATTTCGCCAATCTCTGTGGCCGGCATTTTCAGAGGACAGGAGTAGGAACTCTGTCCATGTTGCCAACGGCAACAGAGCATGGACGGAGTTCCTACTCCTCTGAAGATGCCGGTCACAGAGACTGGTGAAATGTCAGGAAGAACAACCTTCAGAACACGACCAAAGAGCCCAAAAAACCCACAACAACCATAAAACACATTTCTTCAACAGTGTGCTTAAGATTGCAGGTTAACAGTTTGCTTACATGCAAGTATTATGTACTCGGTGAAACTTCCCCCTCATACATTTGCATAGTATTAGGCTATTTGGCAGACTTGTCTGACCTACCACACAGGGTTGTAATAAAGATTTTCTAAAATTCAACCATCATACGTATACCAACTTTGAGCTCCTTGGAGAAGGCTGGAAGAGGGAAGAAAGAGGAAGTGATTATTGTAAATGACAGGCAACTGGGACAAGAAATCCCAGAACTGTGTTTATACTGAGCATTGTTTCATGCACATCCATTTATCACTTGCTACATGTGGCAAACAGACCTGGGAGAAGGAGCCAGCCTAATAGGTCAGATCATGCAGACAGAATTCTTGCAGCAGTCAATATCATCTAATGTACCATGTTCTTATCACTTTGTAAATTGGTTTACTCGTTAGTCCACTAATAATCAAATTAAAATCTTTCAAGTAATGGGCGTCTATGGGTAAAGCAACTTTAATAAATTAGACCTTGGGTGAAATCCTACTGCGCAATTTATGCTGCGCGACCAGGATGGTATCTTCAGCTGTATCCATCCTGTGGCTATTTTGGAGCAATTAAAAAGGTCCTAATCTTTTCCTTGCTACAGATTCCAGGAATTCCTAGGGATATCACCCTTCATTGTTTAGAAACCTTTGTGAGCCACAGAACAGAGTAAGGAACTATTTAGAGCCCCCAAATCACCACCACCTGTCTTCCTCTCACTGCTAGTCCTGGTGGCAGAAATTTTTTAGCTTTAAATTGTTTCCTATCCCATTCTGCATCTCTGAAAGGCTTTCCCCGGACAAACGGGATCATCAGAACCTGAGGGAAGACAAGCATGTTTTATTTGCTCCAAAAAGGCGGCAGCTGATGAGATCATCCTAGTTGCATGGCACACCTCTGCCAAGAGGATTTCACCCACTATGTCATGAATAGTGAGGGATATCCATGAGCAGTTCTCTCATTGCAGAAGTAATTCTGTGCATAAGTTGTTTATACCTCAAGGCTCCGGGCAATATCTAGATGATGGCATGTCTCTGTTTTACCTGCCAGTTATCAGGATATGATCTTTGCAACTCCAGTGTCTTGAGGTTTTGCCTTGTTCACTTGGTTTGCATTCCAGTGACTCTCATCCTCCCTGTGAGTATCTGTAATATACATATCTATTGCCTGTGGCTTTCTTAGTCAGCATAATGGCAATTCTCTGAAGAAGTGGGATGTAAAGTCTTGTCCCATAAACTGATCTTTAAGATGCCACCTGGACTAGTCTTCTCTCCACCCTGTCCCCACTTTTCCTTTGCCTGCACCAGGCTAACAAGATTGCTGTTTTAGAATTTAAAATCCCTATAAATCTAAATGCTCAGGTGCCTCCCCCCCCCCTTGTTCTTTTCAGGTGACATCCAGTGGACCTGCTCTTAGGCAGTAAAATGTCTTGGCTTAAATTTCTCTCATCATGAATATTCAGATCTCTCCCAGCTCAGCCTCTGTTAGCTCCTGTTTACTTTAGGCAGGAGTGGCTGAGTCTCCAATTAACCTTGACATACAGAGAGAGGGAGAGACGCAGCTCACACAGGTATGTGGCACCTCGACACACCTGAGATGTGAAAACCACTTTTCTACTGGCTAAAAGAGCAGAATCTGCTGGGTTCCTTCTGCCAGCACTTCTTCATGTTGGTCTTTGCTCACAACAGCTGAACCTACCGTCAATCCGATCTGGAGAGCGACAAAGCTTAGAAGCCTGAGAGACCTGGTAGGTGGGTAATAGTACTTTTGCGGGAAGGTGAAGAGGAAGAGGAAGAGGGAAACTTGAACCATTTATTGGAGTGTTGTACTGTACCTTGGTGTCTCCACAAATGTTTAATTGAATGCTGTGACAGATGGAAGGCCTGAAACCAGCATACTAAAGTGGGCAGAGTTCTGACTGTGGAACTAAACTAGACTAGAGCTTGAAAAATTTAGTGTTTATTTTTTAATGGAAAGGCCCAGAGTCCCCCAATTCAGCAGAGCTGGTGGGAAAGATATAAATTGTCATCCATGAAGGCTTTTAGAAGCTCACTGAATTGTTGTAGATAATTTGCAGTCTTTCAGCCTGCATGCAAGGTTGTCATGACGGTGGAATGAGGTAAGGACAACCTAGAACTTGCCTTTGAAAAAAACAAGGGAAAATATGTGCCATGACCATACAACGTTTTTTTCCTTTAAAAAGGTGCGACGGGCTGCTTATCTCATGATATATTTTTTTACAATGCACAATGGAAAATTAGTACACTTGATAAGGAGGTATGAGATACAGCCAGTCACTTTTTTATGTCCAAAAGTGTTTCATTCATAAGCTGCATTTTCCTTCTATGCTTAAAGCATTTGAAATAAAACTGCTGCCTAGAAACTCTTTAGGGCCAATTTCCACATTGCCCAGTTATGGTGTAACATTTTGCTTGTTCACATATTAGAAGTACAGTTCATTTGTTACTCATTTGCTGTGCAGGATCCTCCGGGCTGTGTTTTGTATCAGACACTTCCCGTTTCCTGACTGTACAAAATACAATCTTTCACAGCGGGGAAACAGGATTGCGTCCACAGATAGTGCATCTGTTGTGATCGCTGGGATCATGCAATGGCCACAGGCCACTTTGAGACATAGGAACAGCAATGAGTATCTCAGCTGCTCACCCCCTGCTCCAGATATCCACACACTGTTGAAAGAACAGTTTTCTGTTATTTATATATGTAATGCTTTTGGAGTGAAGTGCTCCTCCAGTATGACACCACCACAAGAGCACACAATCAAAAGAAGAATCTGCTTTTCTGCGCTCTTATCCTGTCTCTGCTCTCTCTCTCTCTCTCCTTTACTCAATGAAAAGGGGCGTGTGTCACAGGATTCCCCCTCGATAATGGAGGGCTTGGTTTCACAGATATCCCTTCCCATTATTTAATACAATTCCCTTTCCTGAAAAGCAGGTACTGCCTACCCACAGGGACAGATGGTGTGCTGTATAGAAAAAAGAACAAGCTGTAAGGTTCAAAATACTTCCATCAGAGAAGCTTCAGGAGTCTCCATATAAAATATACTGTCCCAGGAAAGAAGGCTGGATGGGGAACTCAGTCTTCCTTCTCAGTCTTCCTTCTCCATGGTAGTGTTCCCAGGATATTTCAAAGACAGAATGGTTCCTGCATAATGCCAAAAGAGGGAGAAAAAGAGGATGCAGGTTGTATAAAATGTGCCGATACTTATTAATATGTGTATGTTACATGTTACATGCTGTGAAGTCAGCTTCAGAAGACCCTAACAGGTTTACACGGTATGCAAGATACTTTAGGAGTGGTTTTATTCTTGCCACTTCCTAGTGAGTTTCATGGATTAGCAGAAATTTGAACCTAGGTCTTCTGTGTCCTACTCTTTCATTCTATCCACTACACCACATGGACGCACAGTAATTTACTTGTATAGATTCAAATGTAGGAGTAGTGTGTTTAATAATTTAAATAGAAAAACAGTGTCTCTTTCCACAGTGGGAAAGATTCTGACCAGGTATATTTGCTGACTTATTTTGCTATCCAGGTACTAAACTACTGAGAGATAACTTTAAGGCATCTGGTCTGTCTTTGTATATCCCTTTAGTTTTAAACTGGATTGAGGGGGCCATCAACAGGCAACATCTTCAAATTCAGGTCCATCCTCAAACAGAGGAGAACTGTCCTCTATAAAGTGTTGCTATGACTGTCTTACAGTAGACTGGTTACCATCTATTGTGACCTATTTCCCCCCCGCCCCCCAACAGCAAGAAAGGTTAGGAGAGTGTATGGCTTTATGGATTTGTTTGTTTGTTTTCTTGCTTAATTTATACACTGCCTTTCTCCCCATAAAGAGACTCAAGATAGCTCACAATTGATGATGATGATGATGATGATGATTAACGATGTTCCATCAAGTCAGTTCCAACTTATGGCAACCCATTTCAGGGCTTTTCATGTAGGGACTGTGTGCCTTGCCCGAGGCCACACATGCTGCCTCTACTCACAGGAGGCACAGTGGGGAATCAAACTGCCAACCTCTAAACATAATTTTAAACACAGTGAAATATAATATAATATTCAAAAACAATTAAACAGATAAAACTACCATTTAAAAACACTTAAAATGTTTGATAGGAAGCAAACCTATGAGCAATAATAACATTTGCTTGTCCAGTGATACTTATTTGTGGTGACGTTTGTCAAAGCCAGCCTGCCTAAAAAAGAAAGATCATTGCCTGACAGTGTTCAGACCAGTGACTCAGGATTTGCACCTGGAACATGGCAGAACCTAAGTAGGATCAGAGCAGTCAGTCATACCAAGCCTTTTCTTTCTTTCTTGCAAAACAAAGAGAGGAGGAAATAAGAGAAAAGGAATGCAGAAGAAAGAGAGGAGAGCAAAGTTTATCACATGTAGAATTAAAACTCTGGAAGACAGAGATGAAACCCTACTCAGAAATATAGGAAACTAGTGGCACCATGGGGGGGGGGGAACATAAGCTTTGGGGTCCGGAAAACCCTCAGTCAAATTTCACTCCAGGCTGGAGGTATCCCCAGCGCTTGGAAAACTGCTTTTTGGAAGTAATTTGTCTCTATTACTACTCTACATATACTATTGATTCTGCATTTTACTGTTCTATACTGTTTGAAAAGTTATCCCTATTATGCTATCTCTTACAATGTTTAAGAGACAACACCTTGTATTGCATAGTAGTGCCCTTTATCTACTACAGGTGTGGGGGAAGACCATCCTGCATTGCCTGAGGTCAAGCTAGACACCTCAAGCTGATTCCTGGAATACTACTTTTACAAAGACTTTGACCATGAGAATTTACAGAGGAGTTGACTCACCAATCACCAATTCAGTGTGCCCACTCTAGTGCAACTTACTACACTAAGCATCAGGCTTTCAGTCAAAGCTGCATGAAACTCAAAGGGAATCCCTGGATCATACAGATCCTCCCTTTGTGATAGCACACATATTACTTGTCATCATTATATAGTTAAATCAGTTTAACTATATATATAAAACACACACACACACAGAGGCTGGGGGATTCTCAGAGCTATAATCCAAAATAGTAACGTTTCCAAGCTTTGCATAATAATATTTATTGCGCTTGTTATTGTTATAGTATTGCTCCACAACCTTTATGTACTTTTAAGGAGACTTCAGGCTACTTCTTTGTGACATTTAAATAGCAGTTTTCTTTTTTCTTTTTTTAACTTCCTTGTGGAAGATATAATTTTCAGTCTCACCTATACTGAATATCTCAAGAAAGTCTGAAAACCAAAAGCATAAAATAAACTGCATAGTAATAAAACTACCATAACTTTGCTATCTGTGTTAAAAGCCTTATGTCAATAGAAACAGTCAAAAAGCTAATAATATTACTTACACCCATTCTGCAGAGCAGCCTTATGTTCTGGGTGGTACTTAGGAAAAGGAAACCAACAAATTATCAGTGTATTTTTTGAAATAGGCCATTAATCACCTGTAAAACAGGTCAAAAAGGAGAACAGATTTCCATGAAAATTGCACATGCTTATATATATTTACTGATGCACATTTGGAAGCCAATTGCTATTTTTTAGATTTTTTAAAAATTGTATATCTCACCGTAATAGGGAGGCTGTGATCTGGTTACATTTGGACCGCCTGCTTAATTTGCTATCCAAGTGATGGGGAATTTCAATGCCCTGTTCTTATTTCATTAGGGGGTCTTTAGAGTTAAACTGAACTGGGACTAAATGACCCAGGTCAGACTTTTGACCACTAAATACTGAGAAAGGGACATTAATGGAAGGGTAGTGCCCTGTGTTTTAATGAAACTGATTTTCTTTTATAGTTGCTTTTAATCCCAGTTATTTTCATTTAATAATCAGTTTAACTATATTTGAAGAATAATCAGAATAATCATGTGTTTGTTGTTGTCATTGTATCTCTTTAATGATGTTGTGAACCACCTGAAGCCCAAGATTTGACAGAAAGATAGGATAAAGAATAAATAACCCTTTCAAATAGAGGACACTTGCAAAAAGAGACCTGTCCTCTGTAAAGCAGGTCATATGACCACCTTACATTGTCTGAGCAATTTCTTCCTTAGGTTGGAAAAATATGCTATTTTGTTGTGGCACATACAAGCAAGCATACACATGCCCCGTTTCTTCCACAAACCTCCCCCCTTGCCACATATTCACTTGTCATATTTCTATAATGATTTTTATAAAGACACGAGAGAGGGCCTTCTCTGTTGCTGCTCCCTGACTTTGGAACTCCCTCCCACAGGAGGTCAGGCTGGCCCCAACTTTTCTGTCCTTCTCTACCTGAGTTGGGTTTTAAATGGATGGTTGTACCTTATTGCGTTGAGTGAGTTTTTGGTGTTGCTTTGGTTTTCATTCTTTTAATGTGGTATTTGGTTTAGTATTTGTAAACTTACTGTTTTTAAATTTCAGTGTTGTCTTTCGAAGGCACCTTGGGTCCTTTTTAAGGAGAAAGGCAGGATAAATATTTTAAATGAATAAAAATATCCCTTATTACTGTACAAGTTCGCTTACAAGCATATTAGAGGTATGACTTCTTCAGCTTCAGTACCGTTCATCTGCCGGATAGAGACTATGTCAGCTCAAATTGAAATGTAAATTAAAAATAAGAAAAACACCTGTGATTTGTGGGATAGGGCTGACTTCTCTGCGGAGGCAAGGTCAGGTTATGTAACTTGGGGCCATGTGTTGTATTGTCCTTTCTCCTATCCATGCACATGAATATTCCGGGCCCAACCAAATGACCACCTGGATAGTGTGAATATGAGAAATAGCCATTCATAGCCACACTGTCACTTTCCCCCCAAGAAATGCAGTTCAGAAGAGGACATTTTGTTCTTATTATGTGTTGTCAAAATCTCCTCCAACTTACAATACTGCCAATCACTAAAATATTCCTACTTCAAGCAAAGGCTTTCTCCTCTCCCCTCAGATCTGCTCTGATCCCTGGCTTCTGCTTTTTCACAAGCACTCTCTACTCTTAGAGCCTTGAGCCTTAAGCAAGCCAACTGGTCCTCAGATCCTGAGGTAAAACACAAGAATTTTCTTCCAGAGTCTTTCCCTAACTTAGACCCCCCCCCCAGATCTGGGTTCAGAAGCCCCCACCACTAAGCTTTTCCCAAAAGCTCTAGTGAGGAACCAACCTTCTTTGCCACAGACCTCTGTCTAAAAGGTACCCTTGACTCAAGAAAAATTCTTTTAAAACTCAGGTTTTGACTGGAATTCTTTGAGTTCAAACTCAGGCTTCACTGGATTCCTTCGTATCCAGTTGTGGCATACACCCTCGTGCCCCTTGCTTGACCGTCAAGCCTTAGAGCACACGAAGACAAACAATCCCTCTTTTCACTGCTGCCACCAGGCGATCGCTAAATCACCATTACCTCAGAAAGATTCAGGTCCACCCTTCAATAAACTTTGGTTTATTGATTACAGAGATTGATTCATGAATGTCTTCAGTAGCTAATCACACCTCAGAAGAATTCCCCAAAATCCACTATGTACTTCTCCCTCTTCTCATTGCTCACTCTCTGTTACTCTCTCACTGACTTACTCTTGCTGGCTCAGACCTCGCCTCTTATAGTATCTCTCTCGGCTCCGCCTCTCAGCAACATTAATATGCATGAACCATTACATTACATAACAAACCTGAACCATTACATAATATAACATGAACCATAGACCTAATAAAATGGGGAACGCTACAGTCCTATGGATGAGTGACCTCCAAAATGTCCTGTCCTCAATAGCCCTGCTCAGCTTCTGCCGACTCCATGTCATCATTTTTTTAATGAGTCAATCTATCTCACATTTGGTATTCCCTTTTCCTGCTGTCTTCAGCTTAGCCTGGCCATATTATCTTTCTAATAATGAGTCTTCGTATGATACGCCAAAGTACAATAGTCACAGTTTTATCATTTATGCTTCTAGATAAGGTTCTGTGGTACAGTATTCATAAAGCTCTTATTCAAATCATATTTAAGATGGACTGATTTTTCCCCTGTCAGCATTCTTCACCACCCAGCATTCACATCCATACATAGTAATCAGGAATACAATATGGTGGATGATCTTGGCCTTGGTAACGTGTCCATCCTTCCAGTCACTAGACACCATAATATGCTTCATTTCCTTCCCCAAACCAAGCATTTATATAGTGCATTCCCAGCTGGCATTTGAAGGACATATACAGTACAGGCATTTACAGCTTGGAGGGTGAGCCTACTGTGTACAGTATCTTTTCCCCAGAGGAAATAAAAACCAGCTGGGGAAGAACGGACCAGAGGAAAAGGCTAAGAAAAAGGCTGGCTCCCAGATTTGGTTTCCCCTCTTGCAGTGCACAATCCTTCATGGTTTCCCTTTAATGAGGAGACATTTCACATGAAAAGAGAGTGGCCAGTGACCCTATAGAGACCATCTCTCCATTTGAAGGGCTGTCAGAGAAAAATCCTGTGTTTGAATGAATGGCTTGCCTGTCAGAGATAAAGAATTGTAAGTTGGAAGAGGAGAGCAAGGGACCTTGAAGTAACCCATCAACAACAGACTGAGCAGACACCTGACAAGTCAATTGGTGTTACTTACTATGCTGAATTTCACAGTATTTCCAGCAATTGTTTCTAAAATTGTATCTGAACATATAAATTAACATATGCACCATTTATACAAACATGTCCTTTCGTTCTTGATATTGTTCCTTTTCTGTGACAATGCATAACTTCCTGTCCTACATGCAAATAGAGAACTATTTTAGGCTGCCACCTGGACCTCCTTGGATGCTCTGGGCTAAGTGGCAATGTTAAGACAGTGGGCTCTCTGCTAAGTCTTGGGGGAACTGGCAAATGGCCATCTCTATAAGCCCCTGCTGGAGCCAGCATGGGTTCTGAAGTCATCCCTCGGCATCCCATCTCCCAATTGAAATGGCCATCTGAATAACTGCATTTTATATCATAAACATGTCTCTGAATGTAACTGTGGGGTGGCGCAGAACATGGTGCCTGCTCTCACTGCATGTGCGCAAGTCAACAAGACTAGCTTCCCCCCCCCAGTACACTGGCAATGCCATCATGTTTTCTCCTGCACCTCAAGGCAACTGACTAGCTTATGGGGTTTAAGAACAGCAAGATTATGTACAGAATGCTAGAGGACAGAATTCTTAGTTCCTGAACACAGAATTCTAGAACTCCTGAGGGAGAGAAAGTTTAACAAAAGCTACTAAAAACCCAAACATTGTAACAGGTCTGTTTTTTTTTCCACCCGCTTCTCCTCTAAGGGTGACGAGTCCTTTCCTGTCAGCCACTATGGCAGAAAATGACCACAGCTGGTGGAAGCTGACGTTCCTCCGGAAGAAAAAATCAACTCCAAAAGTGTTGTATGAAAGCCCTGGCATCTATGCCGTCACCAACAATGAGAACCAGCAAGAAGGGGTGCTGACTGATGGCAGCAACGGTGGGAGCAGTGAGCGGGAATTCAGCGCCCGGCTAGAGAAGATTGTGGACAAGAACACCAAAGGCAAACACGTCAAAGTCTCCAATTCAGGACGCTTCAAGGAGAAAAAGAAAGTCAGGGCCATGTTGTCAGAAAACCCCAATTTTTTTGGTGACAGTGAGCAGGGTGAAAAATAAGGAGTACTGCATATGAAGGAGGGACACCATTCGTGTGCTTTCATTCTTTGGAGACGTTTCTCTGATCACGAGAAGCCGACTACGCATCAGTGCCATTAGATTTATACAGTAAATGAAGTTAACGAGGGGCCCATCTTTAGCTCCAGGTCCTGATTTTCATGGGAAAAAGAGAAGTTTTGAAGGATAATGAACTTTATTGTTGCAATTGTTTTTTCTTTCTTATTTTTTTTAATTTAAGAAATAAGGTTAATAATATTTACATTAAGTATCAGCTTGGAAAATCCTCAATAATGAAGAAAGGAAATGTTAGAGGCAGAGCAGAATCTATGATACAGGGGAACATATTCAGAACTATTGAATGCAGATCTATTTACCCTGGATATAAGGCTGGCTCTGCTATTTGGCAAAGGGAACCTGCCACCTCAGGTGGGAAATGCTTGAATGTGACAGCCAGGTATTGGAAGAAAGAACTTTACACCACATAGCCTGGCCTACAATCCCAAGCTAGCCTGCTTCATTCAGGTATGGTTAAGGACATAGTCCCACTATCTGCTCTGAAGTAAGTTTCAGCCATCACAATCCTGTCAGTGTTTGTGCTCTGGACTCTTGGGATGGCCTCTGTTTATGTTCATGGCCTTTGGTTGTGGTATCTGGGGATCAGACGTTTCACAGACTAAGAAAGAAATGCCACCAATTAAGGATTTATGCAGTGCCTGATTTTTGCCACTGGGCATTTGTTCTCAGGGTGCACTTGATTTCTCCTTGTAGCAAAGTGTGGCCCACTGTTAGTAGGCTGATTGTGGGGAGCGTGAGCAGCATCAGGGTTAATGGGTGGGAGAGATGGGTGTTTCTGCCATTTCAGAAGGAATTAGACAAAGCAAGGACATCAGATGTTGGTGTATTACACCCATCAAGGGCTGATGGGAGTTGCAGTCCAACAATGTTCCCCATCCCTGGAATAAAACATGTTTTGGAAATTTGTAGTTTATACTGCCATGATTATAGAGGGAGGGCACATAAACCCAAGGGCTTCTTACTTTCTGTTCTAGCTATATAGACCCTTTAGCTGTCCAGATGTTTTCGACTAGTGGTTCCCAAACTTGGGATACTTCCTTTGAATTTTCCACAAGTGGCTTGTAAGCTAGCCAACAGGGAGAAGGTTTTTTTTTAAAAATTCAGATTGTGCTCTTTTTTTTTTTTTGAGGGGCAGGGGACCCCAATGGTATTTATTTTATTTTAATCCATCTTCTGTGATCCAAGTCCAAGGATCTATGCCTAGAGTATCATCCAAATGGGGTCAATCCTCACTTCAATCCTAAATTTGCTCCATTGAACCAGAGGAAAGGGCTTCTAAAGTAAGTGTTGACATCACACATTGAGTTCAATATTATCCCATCCAGCTCCATTGCCTCCAAGCCAGTTACTGCCAAGTCTGCCTGGCAAGCTAAGTGAACTTTAGCTGCAAAGAACTGTATTAATAACTCATCCATCAAGCTTGTTTTGCTCTTGTAAAATCAGCAGTTCCATTGAACTTTGCACATCAGTTTTGTTGAGTTCATCCTTCTGTCTGTCAAGAATTGTCCAGCACAGAATTTCCAGATACACAGGATTACCAAAGAAAAAGTTTACTTAGTAATTTGTGAAAGTTTTACCCATCGTACTAGGCAGTTTTAGTGTGAGATTGGCTCCCAAACCTTGGCTCTCAATCCCAATAGACTATTGACCTTTGAAGAAGGGGCTGGGCAACCCGAAGCCCTCTAGATGCTGTTGAAGTCCAACTTCCATCAGCCCCATTCAGCCTGGCCAATAGTCAGGAATTAGGGTGGTTGTAGTCTAACAACACACAGGGGTCCTGACCAATACCTGGGATTTCACATGCAGAAGACTAGGAGCTTGTTGTTTGTCCACACTCCTTACGTTTAAATAAGGCTGCTAGGCTTTCTCCAGCTTCAAAACATGAATACTCTTTAAGAATTACTCTTACGAAGTGTTTTAAAAAGTGGTTTTTGATATTACATGGGAGACCCAAGATTTTTCCATGTTTTTTTTTCCTTCTAAAAGCAGCTTCGAGGTACCCCAATTTGGACTGATGTCACAGAGTTAGGAAATGTCTGTCTTTTGCCATCATGGGTTAAATCCGTCCGTCCCTACTGACCCCCGGAGAGTTGAGGGGAGCATTCTGTATTGGGTCTGCAATACAGAGTGAACAGGCTGTATAAAAGATGTAAAAATGTTTCAGTGGATGTATATTATGTAAAATGCACCTGCTTTATGATCTTTATGACTGTGTTTATATATGGGGGGAATGGCACAGAGTGGATAATAAAAATGTTCTGATTTTGAGAAAAAGTCCTTCCTTCCCTTTTTAGCTTTTAAAAACAGATATATCAATCATCTGAGGCAGTTAAGAAATTATGTTAACATTTGGGTGGAGAAATAACCAGGCTTTGGCTGGCCCTAAATGTTGTCTACCTGGCCCTGTAGGTTTTCTGCTGTGTCGTCATGACTTTCTATAGTATAAAATGGAATCCCAGCCAGCATTATTTTTTTGTTCTTCTGGATTCATTCTGCAATCAAAGAGCCCATTTCAAACTAAGGTATATTGCCTGAACATGGTTGAAGAATGGGTACATCAACAGCCAGGCTTAAACCACAAAAAAAGAGATGCAAGCAATGGACTAAAGAGCTGCTGTTCTCTAAATTTTACATCACAGATCAGCTCCAAACTCCGGCTGAATATTATGGGTCATCAAGGAACATAGAAATAATCACAGTAAGAGGTTATCTGAGAAAATACAGAGTCTCTCCTCCACCCTAATGCAGGTTGTGATAAAACGGCCAGAAATGAGAAAGAAACTTTTCTATGTGGCTTAAGGGAAGGAAGGGCTGTTTTTACATTAATTGACCAACAAGGGGTCTGTTATATTTTGATTCCCTTTTCTTGAACCAAAATGACAGGTGCCTTCTTTTCCATCACCCTTCCATCATCAGCACAGAGCTTAACCTATCCTTGGAAATGTACTTGCATCCCACCACCACCACAGCTAGGTCTACTATTAGGCAAAGTGAGGTGACTCATCTCAAAATTCCAGAAGTCAAAACTGAGGGTGTTGAATGAGGAATCTGTGTCTGCCACATAAGACAATCAGCTTCTGAACATGAAATGGGTGTGTATGTGTGCATGCAATTTTCACCTTGGGAACCAAAGTGTTTTGGGTCAGCCTTAGATCACACCTATCCCACTTTCGTCATCATCCCCCCCTTCCTAGACTTGTTGATACTGCCTGAGGTATGTTCAGCATTCAATCCTAGAACCTTTCCCAGAAGCTTTTAGTTTGTTTCTATTCTGTGACACCACAGCAATGTATAACACGGTGGCAGGGGGTAGTAGATACGATGCTTTTTGGATCAGCTTCCAGAATCCCCTAACCCCATGGCCAATGTGGGAGCGTTCTAGGAACTATTCCCAAGCTCTGACAGCAGCAGAAAGACCTGGTTTCTCCTTTGTCCCACCCTACAAAAGAGGTTACATTTTTAGCTAATGGGTGGATTCATCCTGGAACAAAAGGACATTATTTCCTTTTGGTACCAGATAACAAGGACAGAGACAGCTGAAGGAAATAAAGTTCTCTTTGGGCAACATGGGTAGGGTTGTGTGCCTGTGAGAATTTGACACAAAGCATAACTCCATACAATACAGCTTTTCTTTACACTGAAATGTCCCTGTTTTCTTTCCAGTTAATTTCAAAGCTGACCACACCTTGCTCTTTAAAAATGCAAGATCCTTTGTGAAGTCACTTCTGCTCGAGATCTGTGGCTACAAAAACACCTTTTCAATTGCATCCAATCCTTTGTATGCTTTTATTTCATCTTTATATTAAAGTCAGATCAGAAGTTAAGGGAAATGTGTATTTCTTCCTCTTATAACATTGTCTGTCCAGACATACAAATATTTCAGTGCTGAACACCAGCGATATCAAACTTGCAGACAAAGCTGTGGTACCTCACAGTTGATCATAAAAAGAGTAAGCTAATTTACCAACTACAGGTTGAAGAAAATCCATTCTTGTACTGTATTGCCATGTTGCCACAAACACAACAGATGCAATACCTTTATACTTAACATACCATATAAGTTCCAATTTACGCCAATCCTCCTAGGGTTTCCTTGATGTAAAATACTCAGAAGTAGTATCTTTCTGATGGCACTCTGGACCAATGCAGCTTGCCCAAGGCCACACTGGTGGCTGGGGACATAACCTAATTAACCACATATGCTCTGAAAGGTCTCAGCTGACCCCCCCTCACCAGGGACCAAGTGAGGATTTGAACACCCAGTCCTTGACTCTGTAGCCATGTGCTCAAACCCATCCTGCTCAAACCTTTATAAGCCAACCAAAATGTAGGTATCACCCCAACAGGAAGCATAGACTTCTTCTGTGAAGGTCATCTATCAATTTTACTAGCATATTTACCATTTGTGATGTTTTAGTGAGCAGGAAGAAACAGTTTGGCAAAACAAGTGCTCAGTCACTAACAGTACACTGGTGGACAACAAGCAGCCAGCCTCCCTAGGTCATTTCCATCTACATACCCAATATAGATAGATAGATAGATAGATAGATAGATAGATAGATAGATAGATAGATAGATAGATAATAGATAGATAGATAGATAGATAGATAGATAGATAGATAGATAGATAGATAGATAGATAGATAGATGGATGGATGGATATAGATATATAGATATATAGATATAAAAAATTTAAAATATTTTTAAAATTAATTTAGGTTTTAAAAATCAATTTCTGGAGGCCTCCTGGAGCAATAATATTTGCATCAGGGACTGGGTGGTGGTGGGTTTTTTGTCTCCTACCTCTTGAAAGCAAAACCAGAAATGTCCATCCAGCACTTCCTGTTTCCTTTCTTTTTTTAATGGCTGAAGGCAACTGTTCCTGAGCCTGCTGAAAACTGTAGCAAAGGCTGGAAGCCTCCAAGCTCCCTGCCCAAAGTCACACACCACAGAACTAGCATGTCAGAAGGTCACAGTGGCAGGCTCAGGAACGGTTAGGATGTCAAACTTCTAGGAGAATGGGGGAACTGAAGGAGAGTGTCCTCTGTGTAACTGTGATGAACTGTGTCCCATTAACGGTACATGTGTTGCTGGTTGAGAAGCACTGTCTTGGAAACAAAACTGTCTACACGATACAGACTAATCTGCACCCCCCAGCAATGGACATTGGTTCAACTGACCATCTAGTCAGCTTCTATAGGAGAAATAAAGCAGAGTGAGTGTGTCAGTTTGTCATTTGCCTCTTGCAACAAAATGTCTTGAGCTGGCTTTTATTTGAATACAGACAGAACAGCCTCATGCAAATCTAGTTTCCCAGTTGTTCCTTCTTTGCTTGTGACGAGCCCTGTAGTTCATGTTAGCACCAATTTGCCTCTTTGCAAATATCACACTGCTCTGATTTAAGTAGAGGCCTGAATTTCGGCTTGTGAGGTTCCAGCTCTACAGAAACAGGTTTTTCTTTCTTTCCTTTTTAAACAATCCTCATCAAACATCTGAGGGCAAAAGATAATCACCTTCATACCAAATTTCAATATTCTTACTGTTTTCACCCAATGGGGCCCTCAGCTCAGATCTGTGAGGGAAAGTTAGTGTCAAGGTTAGAGTGAGCTAAGCAAAGTTCTGATATATCCATGTCACTTGGTCCAATCCCATATAGTCTTTGACAATTTCGGTGGATCAGTTACCTTTACCTTACAGTTCAAAAACATGGCCGGGTAACATGAGACAGGAGGTGGAGGAAAGATCTTGTTAAATCCAGACCTGATTGAAGAGTGACAAAAATAAAATAAATAAAATATGTACTATTTCCTTTCAAAAACAGGAGTCAAAATTGCTCAGGTGTATGGGAAGTCAGACTGTACTGTTCAGCCTGGAACCCCAGTATCTGAGGGAATTTGGGGGTAAGGACTGGTTTTAGAACAGTGCTTCAGCACTTATGGGGCGGTATATACATTAAAGTAATAAAATAAATTTTAGCTGCTCTGCACACACAGGGACACAGTTTCCCCACTGTTCCATTTTGCATACAGTACATTTGCTTTTAATCTTAAAATGTGGCAACCTGAAGCCACAGGGCAAAACAAGGGAAGTGATTTTTTAGAAGCATTCAGAAACACTCTTCATGTTTCTAATTTAGTTAGCTGGGGAACTCTCCTAGCCTCTAGGGAATCCCATCCTTACAAGTGAGCTGACTGAGGAGATCCTGACCTCTGATTAGCAAGCAAAGGAGCAATGACTGAGAAGGCAAATATGTACCAGGAGCTGAGAGAGGGCAAAAGGTTATCAAGGCTGTAGTTTCACTGGGACTCAACCCAAGAATGAGAGCAAAGTGATACTCAGGTTGTACACCAGAGAAGAGGCCCACCAGCTCCTCCTGGTGGATGGAAATATCCGAAGACGTGTAAGAAAATGAAATCTAAGAAAAATTAAAATACAAACCTAGCCCTGAGGGTGAAGGTGGCATGAATGGAGACAGGTGGTTATGAAAAAAGGTAGTTCAATGTTAGTGCAAATAATGCTGTGCAAGTAGAAGTATTTTTGGTTTATGTTTATGTTTTCTTCAGTATAAAAAATGTTAAAAATAAAGAGCTAAATATTGTGGAACTTTAAAGATTAGCGCATTTACTTCAGTGTGAGCTTTTCTAGATCAAAATCCACTTCCTCAGGTGGAAGACAAGTACATAGGATGTACCCTGGACCCTTCATATTAGCAAAATGTTTCTAATCAGCATGTTTGTTATTTCAAATTTGTATACTGTAACTAGAGACGGGCCCGAACTGCTAGTTTGGCCTGGTTTGTTCCCCGTTGCAACAGGTGTTTGGTGGCTCAGTGCCTCACCTCCTTTGGCAGGCGCCCACTCAGAAGCAATGGCCAGAAGAGGCAGGACCAGGAAGCCTGGATGTGGCTTCTGATCGGGTGCCTACAAGAAGGGGTGGGGTGTTGAACCGCCAAACATCTGCTGTGGCGGTAAACAAACTTCCCATCTCTAGTTGCAATTAAAAATAAATACTCCAATAATGGGATTAAAAGGTAATGGAATAATAAGGTGAACAGACATTCAAAGCTCAAAAGATACACTGAATTGAAGTAAAGACTGTACATCACAGAAGACCTCATTGAACACTGTTCACAGGCTTGACTGAGGCACCCGCTTATATATACACTGGTACTAGTGCAACTGCATTCAAATATTCATGAAGTAGAGGGGAGCGAAAGCTGAGCCTGCGTGAGGCGCACCACTGAGCATGCACACTGTAATGGCATGTCCACAACACACTGTTTAGGGAGGGGCTCCCCACCACTCACCAAAATAACAAAGCAGGGGAATGGAGCTTTTCTCAAGGTTAAATAACGAAGAAAACCCATGGTGGTTCTGGTTTTTTCGGGCTCTTAGGCCGTGTTCTGAAGGTTGCTCTTCCTACCCAGCCACAAGGCACGGTGATCACTACACACAAAAGACCAGCTAACAACACCCATCAATCACAAGTGACAGATAATCCCTCCTCCTTATCACAACAACACCCCCACAACAAAAACACACTGATCACCATAATCACCGAACAAGCTTCAGAACATGGCCTAAGAGCGCGAAAAAACCAGAACAACCATTAGATCCCAGCCATGAAAGCCTTCATGAATATATTGAAGAAAACCCACTCCGCCACTCGTAATATTCAATTAATTTCACAACTTTTAACTTGTATCTTGTCTTACACTGTTGCCATATGTGCCTTCTCCTACCATTATTCAATTTTTTCCCTGTGTACTCTTAAATGTCCTTGTTTAGACCCCTGGGGGTAAATGTACCCTAGGTTGGGAATCATTGCTCTAGGCGTTTTGTGCTTAATTGCCCAGAATCTCTGACCACTGACCAAGTTGGCTAAGGCATCTGGAAGTTCATAAAACACACAGGGAAGCAAAAACTTGAGAATCTCTCTGCCACCTGATCCTTTTATTTGGAAATGCCTTGGATTGACCCTTTTAAACTCTAGCGCTCAGTTGCTGTTCCTTACAAAGACATTTGTATCACTTAAAAGTGGTTTAAAAAAGCACATGCTTGTAGAATGATTATTATCAAAAAAGGCTTTCTGATTCTAAGACAAAGACAAAGAACACAATGAATCCCTAATACTACCAACTGCTATTGAATTGGTGTCACCAGAGATCTAATGAAATTCAAAGCACAAGAGTTCTTCTGAGCATAACAGAAGAAGCACATCCTCCTGCTTGGGGGTTTGAAAATGCAGAGTTAGAGTGTACCTAAAACAAAACGGGACAAAAGTTAATATTAAACCAGAGTCACCTTCAGCCATCATTCACTAGACTTTTATTGTCCAAAGCATACACAGGCACAGATTCTAAGACAGTAGATAGCAACATGCAGATGCCAGATCTACCAGACATAATGACGAGGATTTCTGGGGACAGTGCCATTGAACACTGTTTATAAAGAACACAACACAGTGCACAAACAGAAATTACGAATACATGTGATGCCCTAAAGGTCAGTTAGTTTTCTACTATTGCAATTACATTTCTGGCTAGGCAAGAACCAGTTATGGTTTGACAAAACCACTCCAAAATGCACATATAATACATGTCACATTGGGAAAGTGGAACAAGGCTCCTGCAGTCAAAAATGATTAGTCTGGGCTCTAATATTCCTTCTACAAATACTTGTAAAAAGGGTTCTTGCACCTGTCCTGTCCCTCTGCACTTACCTGAACTGAAATTGGGCCCCTTAGGAATAGTGGGAGATACAGTATGGGGTACTGCAGATGGGGGGGCGGCCGATGGAAAACTGCCTCTCTTAAGTGACTTGAGACACAACGTCTGTGTCTAATTCTCCATATTCTGTGTGTTATTGGGTTGCCAGGCATGCAAGGGATATGATACACAGGTCAGATTCCAGCATCCTAAGAAGATTGTTTTTCCCTTTTTATTATTTTTAAAGCAAGTTCCTAAGCTTTTACAAATTAAAGGGGGGGGAGTAAAATAAAACTAATACTTGAAGTGTGATGATACACAAGAAAAAAGGAACAGGAGGGAAGAGAAAAAACCCAAGCTCACACACCAGTTCTTAAAGAAAATATTTCTGGTTTTTAATCTCCTGGCTTCCATCATTTCTGGTCGTCACCCAGAATTATGTTTTTACAATTCATCATAGCTGCTGAATTGTGCCTATCCACTCAATCTGCATAATTTACAAACTGCAGAGCACAAGTATGTTCTACTTCATGTGTCCAACTACCTGAGTTTATTTATTGAATATATATGCCGCCTTTCTCTCTAAAAGTGAGATTCAGGGCTGCCTGCAATAAAAACAGGTGCAATCAAAACAATATACTGTATGATAATATGAAAACATAATAAAAGAAATGAAAATATTAAAATGCAGTTGAGTTCAAAACTAAAAGCACATGAATAAGCACAGTAACTTTCAGTAAAAGCCCCTTCCTCAGCAGTCATTATTGTTAAAACCCATCTAAATAAAAAGCATTTTAACTGCCATTATGAACAACAAACTGAAATTTATCTGCTCTTCATGAACGTAGAATCAAATAAAGTTTATCCACCTGTTACAAAATTAACCCAGTCTGTCATGATCCCCTACCACTGTTATCACAAGAGCATGGGTTTTAGGTGTGGGTTTGAGAATTCTATTTTCCAGCATAAATTCCCAAGATGCCATGATTCTGAAGGTACAAAAGTCAAATAGGTGTGAACAGCTTAATGCTGTACCAGAGTTGCATTCTAAACACCTACAGAATTAAAACGTTTGTAGTTTGCCTAGATAGGGATAAACACGCTGTAGCTTTACAACAACCTTACAGTTGCATTCTAAACACCTACAGAATTAAAATGTTTGTAGTTTGCCTAGATAGGGATAGCTTTACAACAACCCTACGAGGTAGATTAGGCACAGAGTTAGTGTCCAGTACAAGGTCCTAATTACTGCTGAGCAATGATTTGAACCCAGTCATTTTACATGAAGATACAATGTCTTGTCCCACTGGTCCTTGGCCTGCTCTGTCTCAGGAATAAGTAGGGAACACAGATTTTGGCACAGATATTCTAAGAACAATGTATAGAGGCTGAACCATGTAAAGTTTTTCAAGGGGAGAGTCTTTCATACACCCAGTTCCCTTCTCCTCTGTGGGTCATGGGCCCCAAAGGTGTGCTGCTGTCCTGGACGTACCGGAAGACAATGCGGTCATGCAAACGGTTTGTTTGCCCTTGCCAGAACTCTATGACATCTGGCTTTAAGATATAGCCACCCCTGGAAGAGAAGGAAACACTGATCAAACATCCATATCACCAATACTAATCTGTTTTGTAGGGAGGTTCTGTGAGCCTCGGCTGACCCTTAACCTTGCAAGTCATAAAATATTAAACTCATAGGGTGCACCATCACCGCATGCCAGAAATAAGCCAGGGTGATATACAGTGGTGCCTCGCAAGAGGAATGCCTCGCAGGACAAAAAAACTCACAAGACGAATGGTTTTGGCAATGGGGTCGATGACTTGCAAGACAAATGTTCCTATGGCCATGCATCACAAATGTTTTCTGTTTTTTGTTCCTGCCTCCTGTTTGCTGATTTTTAAATGTTTCTCTATGTTTAAAAAGTTAACATTTTTGATTGAAATTTTTAGATCATCTGCACAATATGTATGGCTTTGTAATAATAACCAAATTTGACTTTGTTCTGACTTTTTTTTGCCCATAGGAACACATTAGATTTCAAAACATTCCTATGGGAAAACACATTTCGCAAGACGAATTTTTCACAAGACAACATTCACTGTGGAACGAATTAAATTCGTCTTGCAAGGCACCACTGTAATTGTCTCCCATCTTACTCATATGAAGGCAGGGGAACACCAGCACTGCTGCTCAGTGACCCAGAAGAAGTTGGAAAGCACGTTCTGCATCAAGTGGGCAGTCATACATTGGGTGAAATCTAGTAGGAAGTCACATTTAAGTAGGCCCATTGAATCAATGGAACTTACAGAGTTGATTTGCCAAATCCCCAATGATTTAATGGGCCTACTCTGGGTATGACTCCTGGTTTTCAGCCATTGTTTCTTTTCTCCCTTGCTCCAGATTTGATAATCCGAGGACAAGCTTCCAGATCACCTCAGAAATATCTAGGGTGTTGTTGTTTTTAATTCAGATGGAAAAACTTGTTCTTTGGGGCTACAATTTCTCATGATCAGCATGGCCTCTGGCCTTACTGGCTGTGTGATTTGGAAACCATTATTTTAGTATTTTAAAGGGTAAATTACTTGTGTAACTGATGTTACCATGGCCAGGATGTTTATGTTACCAGTGTTAATACGTATGTCATTTTCGACCTCTTACTTCAGCCTGTCCTACCCCCAGAACCAGAGAGCATATATTCCTATGGTTTGAACACTGTGCACTATGCATCTGTGAAAATGGACTATATCCACAAAAGCTCATTTTAAAGGTGCCACAAGACTGTTGTTTTTGCTACAACACTGCTACTTCCTAAAGAGAGAAAAAAAGCATTTTTTCTGTTTATGATAAGGTTCTCTTTTCCTTGGTTTGTTTTCTTCACTATCAAAATACAATCTATGAGCTCTTTAGACCCAGAGCCATATTTATTTTCCTTAAGTTTCTGCTTATGTTACCATGTAAATTAGGGATGGAGAATCTCTGGTTTACGAGTCAAGTGCCAGCTATCAGTGGAACGGCCATTTTACTCGGTTCTGCTCCAGAGCGCTTTACAAAAGCCTGCACTTCCCTAACTTCCCTCACTCACTTTGGCTCATATTTCTACCAGCCTACTGAATTCACCACTGTGAAGATTTCAAACTTCTGACATTAGCATAAGGGGCCTGGCAGTGAGTTATGAAGTAAGACAGATCACAGGAAAACTCCATACCAAAATACACACAAAGGTCCAACTCACCAATACGCTGGCTTAGGTACCTTGGCTTCTCGGTACTTCTCTTCCAGTTCTGCATTTTTCCTCCTTAAATACTAAAAAACGAAGGGACAAGAAGATCTCAGGCTGGCAGTCATAAAAAAACAAGTAAAGAGATGCTTGGTACCACCACCAAGCTGCTAGCAGTGTCTTGTAAACAACCCCCAAATAGCTACAGTAACTTGAAACATGCACATTTCATAAGCCAAGGAAAATTCCCTGTAATAAGAACATGGGAAGCTGCCCTACTCTGAGTCAGGCCATTGATCTATCTCTCCCAATACTATCGAGTGTGCCTGACCATAGCTCTTCAGGCTTTTGGGCAGGATTCCTTCCCAAGCCCACCTGGAAAGAACTTAAGATTATTATTAATATTATTAGTTTTATTTATATGCCACATTTCTCCCAACAAGGGACCCAAAGCAGCTCACAACATTAAAATTCACACAATTTAAAAACACAATAAGTTTAATAGATAGAGCAGCTCACAATATTAAAATTCACACAATATAAAAACCCAATAAGTTTAATAGATACATTAAATAATATATGATTTAAAATACGATTAAAAGATTAAAACATGAAAAAGATTAAAATAGATATTACATGTTGGTCTCCCATCCAAAGACAAACTAGGCCCAATCTTGTTCAGTTTCCAAAACCAGACAAGACTGCAGTGCATTGAGGGTGGTAGACTGGTATAGTTCAAAGTGCGATCAAGCAGGGAGCTGGTAGAGGTAACAATCCAATATGCAAAAGGGATGGAAATGGTGCAGAACACAAGACTGCCATGTTTCTTTCTGCAGCCCAAGAAAGGGGAATGCCAAGACATCCGCATCACAATCCCTCACCTCTCTGTCTGTGATCACTGTGCTTTGCCGACTCACAAGAGCCCCGATCTGGCTGCTCTTTGGACGTGAGTGGAAGTACTTCTCAGATTCCTGCTCAGGAAGCCTCTCTACGGAGCCCTCGATTCGCACCTGCAAAGATCATTCAGTTCAAGGCACAGAGGAAGGACATTTCTGCTAAAGAGATTTTGTTATGCAGTTCACATCATAGCTTGGAAGTAAGCAGGATTAAATGGTGAAGAATTCATCCCAATGGAAATAAGTTCTTTTAAAACTTCAACAAGTTATCACAGCTGTTCTGTGATGGCTGTTCTGTTGCTTTTGCAGGCTTCCAGCCCATAAAAGAGCCTACCCATGCAATGGTCTCCAATCCACAGATGTCCCTGTGCCCCCTCTTCCCTTCCACAGACACACAATCCCTTCCTAAATCCATCCAATTGGTAAGCTTAAAAAAGCTATTACAGTACATTCCTGATGCCCCTTGCCTGTTGTGCCCAGAATAGCAAGGGGGATGTATCAGAAGTGGGGGGGGGAGTAGATTCCTATGCTGTAGCCTGGCGCAGATGATGTTGTCTCAAATTTACTGGTTTGAGCCATCTATAATTCTCATTCCACATTCGAGTACACTCACCTATATCTATATTGTAACCAAAGTTTTGCGCCCATTTAATCATCACTGTTTTTACCCTTTCGTCTTCTACATCAGAGGTCCCCAACCCCCTCGTCAAGTGAGGCACCACTGTATAGATCTGTGCTTTTGGAATACATCTTCTAGAATTCTCTGGAGCAACCAGAACCTTAAAAGGAGGCATCATGATTACATTCCTCGAAGCTCCTTCTGACCATGTCAGCCTGCATCTCTCGTCAACTTCCAGTGTGACCACAAGAATGATCATCAGCAGAGGCAGAAAAGAGAGTTTACCTGGCGATTGAGGGGCTCCCAGTAGAAGACCATAGAAGCAAATGGGTTGGAATCCTATGAAGAGTGGGGGGAAACACCAAAATGCAACAATGAAAACAATAGTAAGAAATATACCCATTGACTGAGAGAACTGGTGAACTTTTGACTTTATAGACGTCAGTACCCAGAAGCCCCACTCAGCATGGACAATGTAAGGGACTGTGGGATTTGTAGTCCAAAATGTATATAGAGAACAAAAAGTTTCCTGCTTGTGGGCTAAGACAGATTCCTGAATTCTCCAAGACAGAAGCGTATAGCTTGCTTGATTAGGAATCACTGAGATTGGGGAGGTTTTATTTTTTTAAACCATTGTAGAAAGGAAAGAAGCTGCCTTTGACCATAGCCTTATCTAGGCTAATCTTGTCACCTCTGACTGAAAGCAACTTTCCATGATTTTAGGCTAAGGATTTTCTCCTTAGGCCTATCTGGAAATACCTGATGTTCTCTGATGGTTTGTTGTTCAGCCATTAACAAAGCCCAATCCTGCTGAGCTTTCAAAATCTGATGGGATTAAGTATGTTCAAGGAGATATAGCAGCACATTAACAGGGTTGTGCCTACCTCCTTCCACAGTCCCTTTCTTTCTCAAGAGCCTATAGTGTATCTGCTTCTTTGAGTGTTCCCAGCTGTTTGAAATGGCTGTTTATTACAGAAGAGCCATCTTTAACAGAGAGAAGGCAAGATGTTTTCCCTCTGATTGCATCACATTAACTGTGAAACACTTTTTGCTGAGGTAGCAAAATCTCATGAGTCAGAGCTAATAGAACAAGAACTATGAAAAATGAAAGTACAGTACTGCCAATTTTTCTTTGGTTACATTGTTAGTTTTGATCATAAACCATTCCTTCAACACAAACTGAACTGATACTGTTGTTTCCTTTTCACACAGGTCTGTATGCAAAGTCAATTTTGCAACAAGTTGTCTCGGCACCAATCCATATGCAGTCAAAAAATTCTCCTACCCAAGATGCCACCCACCAGTTCTCTTCCTTTCCGGCTTTCGTGATTGGTGAAGAAGCGAAAGCCTTCGTGGCTGAAACCTTTCAAAAGTAACATCCGAGCAGAAGGCTTTCCATCCCTAGAAAGAATTAAACACAGATTACAGAAATTTTATTTAAAAAAAATTTTTTTTAACCTCCTCCCACTTCTCCTTAAAAAGGACCTAGGGTGGCTTGCATTATTAAAAAAAACAATATTTACAAGCTAAAAACAATATGTACACAAACATTTTTAAAAGAATCTAACAAATACCCCACTAAAAATGGTAAGCAAAATCAACACCAAAAACACATTCAAAGCAGACGCACTCCATTAAAAAAAACTCCAGCCAGTCATTGAGGAAAAGCCTGCCTGAAGAGAAAAGTCTTTGTCTGCTTCTGGAAGGAATGGGAAGGAGCTCCAGAGTCTGGACACTGTGACAGAGAAGGCCCTCTCTTGTGTCCCTACCAAATGCACCTATAAAAGTGGTGGGGCCAAGAAAAAGAACTCTCCTGATAACTGGAACACCCAGGCAAACAACACACAGAGAAAATTAATAACAAAACAATAAGAATGCAACCAATTCAGGTACAGTTCCTACCTGGTACAAGTGGCCAAGCACATAGCATTTACTTCCCCAATCAATGGACATCTCATTGCTTCTTCAAACCATGCAGAGAACTGCTTAATGGGGTCAAGCGTGACAAGATGTTTCTCCTCAAAAGCCTGCGGAAGAGGGCATGAAGCACTTTCCATAAAAAACATTCACGTTTTCAGCTGCACATTCTGCTGTCAGCGCCCAACTGTTTCAATCACACTTCCAGTCACTCTCTCCTTCTCCAAAAGAATCCCGTTCAGTTGTTTGACTTCTGGGCACAATAAATACATGAGGAAGAAGAGCTTACTAGCTGCTCTTTCCAAAACCCTCTACACACATTGAGGGTGACTTTTTGAAGGCAAGAAGCTCTTCAATCATTGGAAGTTCCCCATGCAATTTCAGACCCTCATCTCCCAGGCTACGACATCCTACCATAAACAGCCTTGATACCCTTTAAAAAGTCACCTTTCATGTGCTTCTGCCTGCTGGGAAAGGATGCATTTCCCAATAGTTTGTATTCCCACTCTTTTCTCCTATCTGCAATTCCTCCATCTACCCATCATTTGAAACCGATTCTCATGTCCTGACAAATACATGTAACCCTACCAACAAATTCAATTCCCAGCCATTTCGAAACAATCCTTCTATCAATAATTTCAAACAAACAAACAGACAATCTTGCCTCTAAGATATACTTTGGCATGCTTTGCATTGTCTTCTATTTCAGTTAGTCAGTGTGTATCTTGTACTAATTCTACTACAAGAGTGGTTATGAAAGCATTTTTATTCAACCTACCATTTTAATTTGGTACAATGGTTTGTTTTAGGATCTTATTCATTGCTGCATTCAACACATTTTTTTATTTTTACTGTGATATAAGCTGTAATGTAGATAAGATGGAATATGAAGGTTTATATAATAAATTTCATTCTCGTCTGAGACAATCCAATGGCATTTCCAGAGTGGCAGGATCAGCCAACCTGTCCTTGCCCAGGAGATGCCTGAACGTGTTCAGAGTCCTCACTTTTTTGGAAAAGGCTCCTCTCATGTCTGCCAATAAATTACTTATTTAAATGAGAGCTAAATAAAAATAGAGGCTGAAAATGGTTATGGGCTTTCTGGGCTTCCAGCTTCCAGAAATCTTCAGCCAACATAAGAAAGGGTCATACACACAAGGAGATCTTAGAAATTATAGTAAAAAGTCATTCCCCCCCAATTTTCGGCCACAAACAGGTTGGCTTCATCCCTCTTGACTTTGTATGTTGAGATGTACTAAGTCTGGCTGAAACCCTGATTGCGGACGGGGCAGGTACACAATCTATACATGTTCAGCACCATCAATTTTCTTATTTCTTGCACAGCTTCCAAAAAAACCAAGCCCTGGCTCAATAACACTACGCACTCTGCACATGCTCAGAGTGTCTCTCCACTTTAAGATTTCCCTTATTCTTGGCCCTGGCAGTGGAAAAGTTATTCCGATGCCAAATCCTATTCGCTCACCTCCTCGTCTCCTCTGTAGTTCTTCCGAAGGGGCCCCAAATCCATTGCGTAAGAGGACGTCAGAAGCTGGCCTGAACTACGAAGGCTGGTCGCTCCCAAACCCCAGAACCCCAACTGTCTCGCGCAACTAAGCATCGAGATCACTTTCACTGCATTTAAAGCGCAGGCGCGAAATAAAACCAAGGGGGCGGGACCCGAACATCTAGACACGCCTTTTAGCTCTTCTCTCTTCTCAGTAGCTGGAAAAGAGGAAGTAACTAACAACCAATAAGAGGCAAAGTCTTTATTCTGGCCCACCTCTTCACACCCCTGCTCAGCAAATCAGACGAGGAGAACGATATAGCGCCACCAATCAGAAGGGAGGACTCGAATTAATCACTAGGAAGGGGATTTCCGTCAGTAGTTCGCAGAGTAAGGAGGGCAGGAAGAGGCGTGTTTGTGTCTGCTGTCAAATAATGCTTCGGGGGGGAGGGGGGAGGCAGACGTTGGTTCCCACACACAATAAACGGACATCTCCAGGCTAGGGGACTTTCGAAGGTGATAAGGATAGAAGCGATGCAGAGTAACCTCTTCGCGTGGATTTTCTGATTACTGCCATAAGGCGAATTATCCCATATAATACAAAACGGAGGAGGTGGTGGGAGAAACATTTGTAGCAAATGTATTTAGGGCCATGGTTGCGCTCTTGCCCTTAGTGACTCCGTGGGCTACTCTGTTCTGGGAATCATCTTGGCTGGGATGTGGATGGCTGTGGAGTACTTGTGTCTAAAGCAGCAGTATGGATTAATTTAAATTGTGGGGCACATTGTGACGGTCCCAATAAATACATAGCTCCCCCTAAAGTCCAGCAGTGCAGGCTGATGGATTAGTCAACAACACTAAATTAACATCTTTTGAAAAGCACATGGCTCTTAATTGCTCATTCAAGGCGAAACTATCCTCAGATATTTTGCATTACAGTAAGGATAGCTTGGTACTATACAATATATTGTTCATGGAGAGATCCGTATGTCTCCCACTACTGTGAGGATGATGGCTGAGCACAAGGAGAATAAGGGAGTTGTTTCCAGGGGTGGTTTGATGTTACAATCCCTGTTGATCAGAAGTGCTAGGTTTACTACAGCATTGCGCTGGACTCTCAAGATGAGTATGAGGTTATGACACATGTTCTGAAAACATGGGCTAGTGTAGAGGGCATTTTTGTGTGCGCAAAATGCCTGTTCACCAAGTACTCCTGTGGGCATTCCACTGATAGCACAAAGTCTTCCATATGAGGTGGCAAAGAACTGCACTCTTACAAGCACTGCTTAGCCAGGTCTACATGCCATGCCCTATGTGATCCTTTCTCAAAACCAGATATGGTGGACTGGATATCCTGAGACACTCTCTGTGCTCTGCCAGGGTGCCTTGGCTACAATGCCCTAGTACTGAGGCCCTCTCAGGGCTGGGCATTTGACGCTTGTCTGGTTATGGATAGCTGTATTTGGCCATTTCTTTGCTGCAGGAAGAAAACAGCTAGCACAGCCAGTGGTAAAGAACAGTCAGAATTGAAGCTGACAACATCCAGTCATCCAGAAAATGTTCATCCTTGCCCTAAATGGTCAGTGGCCATTGACCAACATACTCTTGAATGCTGCTCCCATATTAACTCACCCATTTGTTGAGATTTTCCTCAGAGGTGGCCCCTCTCTGAAAGTTGTTGGGTGGTGACATGAAGTAAGGCCTTCTCTGCAGCAGTCCTGAAGTTGTAGAACATTGTCCTAAGAGACATTAATTATTTTTTCCTTAATTACTGGATCCCAGGTGCCAGGTCAGAGAGCTTGGAGGTATTCCTGATAGCCCATTTTCATATTTCCGCTGTTGTGATTTGTAAACAAACAAAAAGTAGTAAAAAAACAGAACTAGCAATATCCACATTATGAGTGGAATCATAACATGTACATTTGATGCACATGTCTTCAGTTTTGAAACTTACCTTGTCAGGTTGGCCAGCATGCCTGAAGTTAGACAACTGAGAGACCATTTGGTGTCTTTCCATTCACACATTTAAAGATGCTTTGAAAGTGTGGTGTGTAGTTGCTTTTGGCTTGCTTTGTATTCGGAAGACTTGCATCATCTAATGGGCTTCTTCCATGAAGGATTATGTGAATTCCTTCTATTCCCTTCCCCAATACACACACACACAGGGTTGTATGCCATAGGCATGCATGCAAATATAGTCAAATCAGGATAACTTATATGCAATATTTAACAAGATGAATAAACTAAAAGCCATAAAAACTAATAATGCCCATGGCTGAGGCATGTTGCTAAGGTAATGGTGACATATCCTCTATTGTGACACTTTCTCCAGCTATATCACCTGTCAAATGATAGGGGATCCTCTCTGAGAGTAAGTGTTCAATATCTTTCTTGTTCTTTTCTTTTGCTCTATTTTGATTCTAACTTGGTTTTTGTATAAATAGAACAGGAAATATCTTTAGCCCATGATGTTTAGATCAGAATTGGGGAACCGGCAGCCTTCTAGATATGATTACCTAGCCAGATATGTATTTCAACATCTGGAGAGCCACAGATTCCCCACTTCTTATGCAGATGATGCAAAGACTGGAAGGCTCCATAAAATTCATAGAAGGACTGATTACTCACAATTGCTGCTGAACTCTCAAAAGAACTGAACTCGTTACTGCTTTCAGCTGAGTTTAGAGGAACTGCATGTGGGATGGTCACGGGGGACAAAATAGAATCATGGGGTTATTGTAGACCACCTGCATGGCTCAATCCTGATATCATAAGTATTTCTGGGCACATTTAGACTCATGTTGCACAGCAGAACTTGGGACATTATTTTAAAACTTTTTGCTTTATTAATTGCTTTTAGGCATCCAGATTATTGTTATCCTCACTTCAGTTGCAAAAGTAGTTAGTTGCATACAGTATTAAGAATTCACTAATTGAAATCTGATTGCTTACTATAGTAAATCACACTAGAGTAGGTACATTGAATCACTAAGGGTTTGATTATTCAACTCTTCTATAAGCTCCTTTAATTCAGATGGGCCTATTGTTTTGACTTATTTTAGTGTAGTAAGGTGCAGCTTGAATAAACCCAAATCCCTACAGATTCAATCTGTCCACTCTAGTGCAATGCTAGAAATACAGGATTTTAGCTACTACTGTATTATCCTTTCTAAAAGGCCAGAAAAATGCTGGAAAATACTTTCTGGTTCTCTTTAGTGGCCAATTCTATATTAGACATTGAAAATAGAAAAAAACAAAATTATACTCCTCTGACTCTTAGGATTGATTTAAAATGGCATAAATGTTGAACAATTCACATTAAAATGCTATTAAATGAGCTTAAAATGTAAATGTTGAAGGTAACTAGAAATCATTTTTGTTACACCAAAAAAGTAATCTTGAAAGTATGTGTTGTGTTACTTTATAAATATAGTGTAATTGCTCCTGTGTAACTAGTAAAAGTGATTAATAAAAATAACTAGTTACATATAACTGCATTATTTATAACTTTTCTCCAATTAAATTGTACCATATATGTCAGAATGCACCATATATATGCCAAATATGTATTTATGGATCATATAACCATGTCTTGTCTCATGTGTGGTGAAGTCGGGTGCTTTGTATTTGCTCCAGTGTTGCACAATGGTTAATTAAATCTGGAAATACTTTACTTTTCTAGACTTCGCCCAAGTGACAATGAAGTCTCCTGCAAAATCTTTTTGGAGGAGAAAAAAAGGACTGAGGGAGTAAAAAAGAGAAGGTGAGTGAGAGTGAAAATGTATTTGAGATTAAATTCAGGCTTTAGATGAAAAGAGGTTCCATCACTCTGTGGTTAGCTTGGGGGTGGGACAGTGAGACAAATGTGGCTCACAAAAAGTTGCTGGAGAGTTGCTCCTAGCATTCTTCACCATTTGCTATGATGGTTAGGGCTAATGGGAGTCAATAAAAAGCAAACAAACAAACAAAACCAGGCAGGTCACATGTCATCTACCTTGGTGTAGATCACTGAAGACTTTTAAGGACAGCAATAGAACCTGCGCCTGGAAACTACTGTATGTTGTTGCAGAACTGGCCCGCTATGCTCTGTGCAGACTACAACACATGCATTTAGAACTTATTTTGAACAGATTTCAGTTTCCAAATACTTTTTAAAGGCAAACCTACAAAGGATCATATTAAAATAGGTTAGTTCAGATGTACGTATGGGATAAAACTCTAATATTTATTGCAGAAACAGTGTTAAGCCTTAAACCTTTCTCTCTCCCCCCCCCTTTGGTTATTTGGATTTTTATTATTAAGTGTTGTTGAAATTGTAGCAAACGTTCTCTAAGCAGTTTACTAGAAGAAATATCATACTTATGGTTAGAGAAGAATCTTCATTCTATATTCTTCGTTTGGAATATATTTAGAATTATCTGTGCCATTATAGTCAATTTAAGATTGTGGGGGAATGTTCTTGAGAGTTTATTATCTCAATTCAGTGTTTTAATTTAGTTAGAATCATAGCAACAGTAATAAACCTGGAGCAGTTATAAAAGTACTATAAAAAGAAGCCAAAAGACTTTGCAGTTTTTGTCAACATGGTCAGGATTCTGAGATATGTGGTCCAGAAAAGGGTTACCCCAACTTTTACTCTCTTCGTTCCAGTGCTGTCCCTACAATAAGGCAGAGTGAGGCAAACATCTCAGACAGCAGTAGATGCCAGGGGGTAATAGCAGCTGCCTTTGGCTGGTCATTTTGAGCCCCTTTTTCGAAGGACAAACTTACGTAGGCCTGCACCCCCAAACCAGCCTGATGTCTCACATATGATGCTTACCTGTTAACAGCATGAAAGTAGGATTCAACATCCAGTCCCATCAGCAGCTGAATACAAAGAGCCAGAGAGTGCACCATCTTGTCAACCCCTGGCAGCAAAATCTATTGAGCTGGCTCTGATGTCTGTCAATACTAAACCCACCCACCCTCTATTCACAGCCAGCATGTTGGAAGGGATGCTGTTTTAGCTCAGCTCTAGTTAGGCACTTGGTACTCAGTACTTGCGGCACAGTTAGAGTTAATCTTTAAGGCAGTAACTTACTTAATCCTCCAACCAGAATGGCCACTATTGTAGTTATAGTCCAAAAATGTAACTTTTCTCATTATTGTTTTGTACTGTGTTTCATAAGCAATACGACTCATAAGCTCATAATGAGCTAAAAACAATATAGACACACAGAAGAAGATAAACAGAGAATAAGAGAGGATAAAAGACTGGATCCAGATTTAGACATTGGAGTAGAATTACCCCTCCACATTTCCCCATAAAATCCCTTATGGCTACTCAGCACCTTGGATAGCTCCTGTAAGAGTCATATTATCATAGGACAAGATATAATAATCAGGACAAGATATAATAATTATATCTTGTCCTGATTCACCATCTCACTGACATTGGAGTTCCCAGCCTCCACTGATTACAGGGTAAGGAAATCTCTTTCTCCCAACCCACTTGCACATACTAAAATGTGGCTATAACCCAAGATACAGAGAGCAGAGAATGTTAGCAGTTGTACAGTAACAGAGAAACACAGAGGTTTTGTAAAAGGTTTCTCCTTCTGCCAGGGCAATAGAGTACTTTACCCTGAAGACAGATTACAGCACAGAAATACAAAATAGTCAACAATCTAATGGTTGAAGCACAATCCCCAATTTCCGTAACTGTGCATTTATGCAATATGTGGAAGTTAGAGTTGATCCAAAGGCAGTGTAGACCTATTGAGACAGAAGATCCTGGATATTTGCTCCAATTCTTACTTTGTTTGCCACTCTTTTCTAGGCTGGGAAGGCTGCAGATCCCTCTTCAAAAAAGGAATGCCAACCCCGCTGAGAAGAAAAAGGAAGCAGCAATCCCCACGTGCCCATTCCTGGGCTTGGCAGTTTGTTGCCTTCCAGAGAGAGAGGACCATATCCTGCAATTAGAGGACCAAAGGGATTTAATTTCTATCCAGAGAATAAGGACCTTTCTGTGGAAGATGGGGGAAATATAAACATGTCCTCCTGGAGTTGTTGCAAAGAAGAAGAACCCCCCAAAAGTAAACCTCAGTCAATGGAAGTTCTAAAGCCAATTCCCAAAGTTAAGCCCCTGGTAGTCCCAGGTACAAACATCTACTTCCTTGCTGCTATTGGGGTTTCTAGTTCACACAGTTTCTAGGATATATAACCTGGTTATCAAACTACAGTAGATGAAAATATCATGTTTTTAGGAGAAGTGCTCCCTCAAGCAGTGAAAGTCATCTGTTTGTCATAGCATGGGATTTCCTCACTTATGCATCTTAAATTTAATGTGCTTTGTTTTTTGAATGAGTGTAACAGAAGTTTACTTTGCAAATGAGACTGTCAAGGCATAGATTTCTGAGGAAATACTGGTGTAGGAGGCTATTTATTTATTTTATTTTATTAGACTTCTATACCACCCATCTAGAACATGTCTACTCTGGGTGATTTACACAAAATACAAAAAAGAGAGATACACAATATAATAAATTAAAACATGAATGCATTAAAATGCATATAATACCCTGTCTAAATGATATGATACTCTGTTTAAATTAGTGTAACTATTACAAATCTGGATCAGGGAGTAAATGCGTTAAATCAGAGGAAATACATCCCTTGACGCTATTTGGACCCAAATGATTCCCTTTTTTTGTACAACCTAACAAATTATTTTGCCCTATAAAACTCCAGAATATCTGCTGTTGTATCCAGGACTTTGTAAGTACTGGAATCTCTTTGTATCAGAAAAGTACCAGTGTAGATGACTCATTTTCAGATGTCCTTACCATTTTGGCAGTTGCCTATGTTCTGAAGCATGAGGAAGATGATGACGAGCTGGGGCAACAGGAACAGGAGAAGCTGAGGCAGGAACAAGAAAAACAGAGACAGGAACAGGAAAAACAGAGGCAGGAACAGGAGAAACAGAAGCAAAGCCAGAACCATCAGGAATCATCAGGCCAAGGTTGGTGCCAAAAACTAAGCCAACTGTTCCTGTTTAAGCAGTTACATAGTATCACCACTGCAACTCCAACAGATAGGTGGCTGTTCTGCACACCACATGTCCGTACCACAGCTTGGAAGCAGCAAGTTACAAGCAACATTAGCTAACTGCCACTGTTTTGTTTGCGGTTTAACATGGCAGTGGAGCCAGGAGTTGGGAGTTTGATTCTCTACTGTGCCTCTCCCAGGAGAAGAGCCAGCCTGTGTAGCCTTGGACAAGTTGCACAATCCCATAACACCATCAGAAGAAAGGAAAGGAAAACTAATTCCGAGTACTCTGGACCTAGGGATCTCTGGAAAGTTTAATCATTGTCATCACCATCATTGCTGATACAAGCAAATTGCACTTCAAAAATAACTTAACAAGCAGGATCCAAATTACTACTTACTAGATTAACAAGTAATGTTTCATAGTTACTTTCAAAGGGAATTTTAGCACCTTTGTGGGGGCATTTTTGACAGAAATGGGAAGTTTTGTGCCGTTCTCTTGTCAATTCTATGGTGTCCTTTCCCTTCAAAGTCAGATAAAGTAATAAAAAAAGTAATGAGCAGTGTGACAAGAAAAACAATGAGCTTTTGTAGTATTACAAGTTTTTCTTGTATTTTGTTTTAACTTGTTAAACTGCCGAGAACAGTGCTTTTGCACTAATAGGGCAGTATATAAATAAAAGAAACAACAACAGACTTGTATCTGTTATATAATGTTCTTATAATTTTAATTGACCGACTGGTATTTTTGAATAATAATACAATGAGAAATGAAAACAGTTTAATGTTCAAAGACTATATTGAGTAATGGGAACAAATTACTTCTAAACAGCAACTTTCTAAGTTCTGCTCAGCACACATAAGAGTTGTTTGTTTCACTACATAAGATGTGCTACTCAAAATAACAAGTGCAATGTAACATTAGCGACCTATATTTTGTTTATGGGGTAACAAGGGGATGGTGTCAAGGGTAGAGATTAGATTCCCCATTGTGTCCTGTGGAGGAGGAGGAAAAAAGTATGTTGTTAATCCCATGCTCTTCACCCCCACTTTATCCACATTGCCAAATTCAGAGGCAAGATGAATTATGAAAAGGCATTTTGTGTGGCTGTCATAGAATAGAATCCTGTGGTTGAGTAGCACGTGCCATTTCAATCCTGGCACTGCCTGTGTGTTTTTTTAAAGGGATCTGGCAGCTGGTGACAGAAAGGATCCCTTCCTGCCCAAGACCCTGCGGAGCTGCTGCCAGTCAAAATAGATTGTATTGAGCTAGGTGGCCAAAAACTTTGCTTCAGAGGAAGACTGTTTCCTATGGGTAGTGCTTATATCATAAATTTACAGACACAAAATGAAGATGCTTTTGATGGACTAAAACCATCTATTAAAAGCATCCTAATTTTATGTCTATGAGAAGTTAACTTTGAATGGATTTAATTAGCTTTGAATGGAGTATATTTTTATTTTGGAATAGCTTCAGAGGAAATGACTAGAAGCAATGAAAACAAATTCAGGGGAGGAGATTTGAATTCAGTGTTGGGAATGACTTTCTAATTATATAAGGTATTTGGCAGGAGAACAGATTGCTATGGGTAGAGATGGAGCTCTGAGAACATAAGAATTTGCTTTGCACGGAGTCAAATCAATGGCCTGTTGTGGCTAGTATTGTAAACTCTGATTGGTATCAATGAATCTCCAAGATTTTAGGCAGGAGTCTGTCCATGCCCTCCCTGGAGACCACCTTGTGTTCTACCATCCAGGTACTAAAGAAAAAGAAGAAGCAAAGTGTGCTGCTTATATACCACCCATAGTGCTTCAAGCACTCCCTAGTACTAACCAGAGTCATCCCTACTTCACTTCCAATATTTAATAAGATTTACTGTGCTTACTGCGGTGCATATGGTAGGGAAGGGTGGACTAGACTGTATAAGAGATACTTAAGCAGAAACTGGACAGCACCAAGCAGCAGGGTAGACGAGTTCATTTCTGAGGTGCTGTCCAAGTCCACAGTTTTAGGATTTTAACTGATGTGTCATTATTAAATACTATATATGCCATGTATGTATAATTGTGGTCATCAATCAGTCAACAAAAATGGTAAAAGTACACAAAAACAAATTTGACAAAACTGTAAAGGCAAATCCAGCCGTTCTAAGTTATAAAAAGTTAAGGAGCAAAATAAAAGTTATGTGTGCAAAGCTTATGTTCTGATTATAACAATAAAGTAACTTTACAACTGATACAAGTAATGGAAGGAATTGTGTCACATATATGATATGATAGATAAAATATGCTGTATCACCCTGGAAGCTTAAAAAAGGAGATTAATCAATTCAAAATAAAATTGTAATGAGAATGGCAATAAAGCAGGACATGCGGAAGCTGTGGTCTGTAGCAGCAGTGATCCTTAATAACTGAACAGTTGCTGAACCTTCTCACAGTATATAGGATACTGTATGCAGCATACAGGATTCCACAACTTCAGTACTACCCCACCTGACAAAAGGCCAGCACTGTCCAGCTAATGAGCGAGTTGATAGGCTTCAAATGCTGTGCATACCAGAGATAGCTGCCCAGTAATGAGATGGCCATACCATTAACTCTTCCCTTTCCCTTTTCTTTCTTCACTCTCAAGACGATGCTGTTACACAGCCCTCTACCTCAGCCAGTGAAACAATGAGAGAGGCAGGAACACAAACCAATCCACACTGTTTCCCTAAATCACCAGCAAAGGTCACACTGGATGAGATTCTACGTGGGATGCAGAGGATCCAGATGACTATGGATCACACGGGTAAGTGAGGGAGTCTTTCCAGACATTTTCTTTGTAAATCAAGCAATAACTACTTAAGAAAAACCCTGCTGGACCAGACAGAAGGCCTGACTAGCCCAGTATTTTGTTTCCATAATGGCCAAGGAAGCCCCCCACAAGGTTGTGAATGCAACCATACTTTGCATCTTGTGTTCTCCAGCATTGGCTGCCCATCCGTTTCCGCATTGACTTCAAAGTGTTAATGCTTACATATAAGGCCCTAAACAGTTTAGGACCTTGATACTTGGTGGAACGCCTGCTTCCACCTAGATCTACTCGGATCACCCGCACGAGCCAGGAGGTCAGGCGGAGGAGCCTAACGATGAGGGAGGCCCAGAAAGAAAGGATACGAAACCAGGCCTTCTTGGCGGTGGCTCCTCGCCTCTGGAACAATCTCCCTTCTGAGATCCGCACGGCCCCCACTTGGGACACTTTTAAAAGTCAATTAAAAACACGGCTATACATTCAGGCCTTCCCTCCAGTTAATATCTGACTTTTCTGTTTATTCTCTCCTTATGTATTTTCTATTCTATTGTTGTATTCTGTTTATTACAATATGATTTATGTAATTGTGTTTTTTGTATTATTTCACTGTTTTTACTATATTGGAAGCCGCCTAGAGTGGTCTTTTAGACCAGATTTGGGGGGGGGGAATAAATCAATGAAATAAATAAATAAATAAACAAACAAACAAACAAACAAACAATTACATTGACACATATCAGTGTGATACCACTGACATTGGAAGTAATATACTGCCTGCCTGACTAGCAGCTACAGATGGTTTTAACCTTGTATCTTCTTCCAAAGCTATTCAAATTGGCAGCCATTACTATATCACTTCCAAGTGAGTTTCCAGCATAGCCACTGAATAAGTTAACAATGCAACTCAGTTCACTGGCTCAAACTGAGATGACAGTTTGTTAATCCTTCACTTGTATTATCAGGCTCGTCAAAACCAGGATATTTATGATGAAAGTTGGTTGTGATTTTTGCATATATTTACATTTGTGTCAATATCTGTCTGTACTTTTTGAATTTCATTCTCTCCCAATGTCACTCCCCTTACTTTAAGAAATCGTTGTAAAGTCTTAGGGTCAAATACTTTTTTTTTTTGAGGCTTACAGAATAACACATTTACTCCTCTGGAGATAGAACAGTATTTGAGATTTCTGACTGAAAAAACCACATTTTTCTTTGCAGTGAGAGATTTTGAGCAGCGCATCTCCCGTCTGGAGCGGATAGTTTTAAAAATGAGGAATGCATGGATTCACCATCGAACCTGCCATCTGGAGGGCCTAGAGTATGATGATGAACAGGAAGATTAATTTTTAAAATGGGAACGTCAAGTGTTTTTTTTTTCTGGATTGCATTTCCCGAATTCCAGTCAACTCACAGAATTGCTGTGTCAGTGACCCTGCTTTAAAGCAGGATGAAAAGTTGCTAATGCACGTCAGCAGATGCAGAAGTGCGGCACCAGGATGCTGGATGAGAAAGCTGTGGGCCATCATTAGTACTGAAAAAAAGATTTTACTCTCTTCTACAATCTGATTTTACTGATCAGGTCTTCCAGATGGAATAGAAGTGGTGACTCGATCTTATTCTTTGTCCACAACAGGTATCTGGTCATCTAAGAGTTTTCAGTGCAATGCCAATACTATTGCACCCCATCTGATCTTTTTCTGCCCTGGCACATGATGACTGCTTTGACCATCAGAAACATTTACCGAGATACTCTACTTTCTCCCTTCAAAAACGTCTGATTATCAGATTCTGGTATCCCTTTCTCCACCCCAGTGCCACAGCAATCATCCTTCTCCTTGGAAGGATGCATTTCCTTTATATATTATGGTTTAAAGGAGTCATCTTAGTACCAGCCTCAGCATCTTCTCTTGTATTTAGCCAAAGAAGTGAAGCTCATATCCGGCAGAGCACAAGAACACCTGTTGCTTTCATCAACTTGAAAGCTTCTGTTTGAATGCTCTTGGGCAACATGTACTGGATTCCACTGTGCAGTTGTTCAACAGGTATATATGCCCACCTTTGTACAGCCTTTAAAATGTTGTTAAACCCTGTACCTATCTGACTACTCTGGATCTGGAGCCTGAAATCACACATAAAAGCACAATTATCAGATGGATGCCCGAACTAGTAAAGTTAAATTTGCCAGCTCAGAATTCACCCCCTCTGGTGGTTGAAAGACTAAATTCAGTTATGGTGGTGACACCAAAAGGGAAAAAACAAAAAACTAGGAAGTATGGTGGAACAGGTACAAAAGAGGCATACGAGGGTTTTGGGAAAGGCAGTTTGCCCCATATGTAAGAGTGTTAAAAAACAGTTTATTGAGAATATCTGTTCTGATTTTTGTATCTTTGGCATATTTAAAATTATCATTTTAAACATTGTTTTTAAACTATTATATTATTTTTATATTGTATTATGATTTATAGTTTTGTGTAAACCACTTATTCTACCACATACAAATATCATAATCCCCTTTAAACAGATGCTTTCCCTGAAGCAAGTCCTATTTTGATAGAATAAACTTTCAAGCATATATACTTAGTACTACATCCTTATTTTAATTTACATGGTAGGACTCAAGTTATAGTTTGAGTTGGCCACCAAGGTTCTTGCCCACCCCACCATCCTTCCTCTAATCTCTTACTTACACTCAACATCCTTCCTACTGGCTACATGCAGAGATGTGCCTCTTTTGCCACAGGCAAAGCATCAGTCAGAATCTCAAAGATGAGGCAGCTGTCCAAACTGGAGTCTTAGTGCAATTCAGCATGACGACTGCTCTTTGAAGCTTCAATGTTTTCACTTGTAGTTACTTGGGATCTTTGTAATGAGATCAGCCAGAATTTCCATGTATTCTGTGTGGAATGCCCATTCATTACGGCCTTTGCCCTGAATCTCAAAAGGGCACCAACACTTTCCCAATTGCTGTATAAGTTCACCAGCATGTCACACTTTAATTTGCCTTGATCCTCCTAGTCTGGTAACAGTCAGCAACCACAGCCTTCTTAATAACTATTACTTTGCTGATATGGGAAAGTACAATTATCTATGTCTCCTTGATTCAACAGAATTTACTTTCAGAGACATGTAAAACTGTACCCTAAGGCATGTACCCACAAGTCACCTGGTGAAGAATTTGCACTCCTATTTCACAATGCATGAACACTTCAGTACCTTGGATGTGTTGAAGTCCTTACAGAGAACACCAACCTCACACTGGAGCATAACAAAGGAAGATCTGGGTTCTTGCTTGTAAGGAGAGTCTACCCATGAGCAAGTACCTTTCCACTGCAGAGACATCCATTTCCATGCATAGAAAACAACATGAGTACAAGGCATTACCCTCGCTACTGTGTCTAAGAACTAGAAACATGCTGAACATTTTTAGAGCTGTTTGATGTTATGTGATGCATATACTGTGACAAAGGCAATTTTCATACATGAAACTGGCAGGTGTATTTGTGAATATGGTTAATTCTGTATAGAAAGGAGGGAGAGAAAAAGAGGTGTCTTGCATTCAAAATATATCATCTGGCCAGCTAAGTTTTATATTATTGTATCACAAATGAAACAGACCATGAAGTGTGAAAATGTTCTTAGGGGTTTTATGTAGCCCAAAAAGACACTTTCGTGGCCCTTTACCTTTCAGCAAGTCACCTACATGTTGTTCTTTTATTCCCTGGACTTAACAAAACAATCCTTTGTTCCCAAGCTGTGGTGGAGTTTGGTTCCGACATATTTATTTACCAGGAAATATGATTCTTTTTCCCCTGCCCAAACCTTTCTAGCAACACACTAGTCAGCCAAGTTACATCATTAATTAAAAACAAACAAGGATTTGTCCCTTAAAGAAAAACATACTTCAAGCAGTTACAACTAAAAAATAAAGTGGATTTTCTTTTAATTTAAAAGCTCAAAAATAACAAGCTGTATGTTTCTCGAACATGTAGGAAACACATAACACAATATATAGTCTATGATACAATGTACACTATAATACACTGAAAGGGGCTATACTGTAGGGTTTTAAAGGGGGAAAGTCTGGCTAGAAATCCAATAGAACAAAAAGGGAAGTTGGGAGGAAAGAGAACACTGTAAGGGGAAAGAGTGCCTCTATTTCTGCACACAGATCATCCCCTAACTTCACCAGGGCCTCAAAAGTGCAAGCTTGCATTCGATTGTGGGATCTCACCCCAATGTATTGATAGCAATCTTCTCCATTTGGAGGCACAACACGAGGCATGTGGAAACCAGCTGAATCAAGCAGTGCAGAATTGCACATTATACCACCCATGTGCTCCATGTACATGCAATTTTCTGCTACACCTGGAGCTGTCCAGCTGAGGATGCAGGGCTGCAGTACAGCAGCTCTGGTACACACACATGCACAAGAGCTCCTGATCACTTATTGATATACTCCATTCTCCTGAACAACGTGCTGCCGCCACATACATCCTAGAAGAAAACACTCTCCGTGTACAGGGCATGCCCTTGTTCATACACCTGAACATGGTACTGCACAGGTACAGAGCCCTCCACAGGGCCACTGGGCTGTGCCTACCTACTGGTATAAGTTATTTTTGCTTTTTTGTCTCTCTGAAGGAATTATTAAATTTAGAAAAAGCTGCTCACAATACATAATTTGGAGCCAATGGGAGAAAATATAAGGCAACATTCTCTGTAGAAAAAGAAAAAGGGGAGGGGGCTTCCTAAGGAGTTTTTTTAAATATATATAGATACACATATTTATATATATTTATAATTTTAAATATAAAGTAGGAATGTGCTGGGGGGACACAGAGGGTCCCATTTCTGGTGGTTTCCCTCCCTCCATTCAAAAGCTTCACAAGCACATGGGGGCGCATGGGAAGAGGGAACCAAGATTATGATTGGGGCAGTTTCGCTGGTGCTACTGTCAAAACACACAAGGACGCCCTTTGGTGCAGTGGTACAGAGCATTGGCTTTGCCTGGTCCTGAGACTGGAGGACGGACAGACCTCGCCTTGTTCTCTCACAATCCTTTCCTGCCTGTCTCCTGGCGTTTGTGCTGATTTTTAGCCAATCCACTCTGAGCCATGTTGTTCCTTATTCATCCCAGGCCTGAAGCCACAGCACCTGATGCATCTTTGAAGAAGTTTCAAAGGAGTGTGCCATGGAAGAAATGACAGCAGTCACTCCCTTCCTTGCGTAGATATGCCTGGGAAAGATGTTGTCTCAGTCAGGAGTGTTATTTGGGCCTTCTGTCCTTTGCAGACACCATTCGTCATGGCAAGTGGTCACCAAACACCCACACTGTTCCCCTGCTTCTCCTGGTGGCATCAAGCCCTACAAGTTCTTAGTGACCAGGTGGGTTTTATAATGCTTCGTAAGATGATCACTTCGAATAAAGCGCTTTTGGCACTGGGCACACTCAAAACGCTTGTCACCTGCACAGAGAAAAATACAAGTAAATTCAAGTATATATATATAGCAGAGTCATGCAAAATATACATCAACTTAGATTGTTTTTTTAAAGTGAGACAAATCAATGAAGCTATCAGGTTGACAACAGAGGTGGATGGTTACCAACCTTCAACCAGCAAACTGATTTTGGAAACAATGCAAAAACTAGATGGATTTTCATCTGATGCAACATTATCCAATTCTTACGCTGCTGGAGAATAAAGGCTGTTTTACATCTTTTCTACATCAAAGCTCATGAGTCCTTTAGGAAAGGAATGGACATCTGTGGTTCCCATGATCTTATTGGACTACAATTTCCATCAGCTTTAGCTAGCAAAATCACTGGTGGGGATCACAGGAATTACAGTCCAAAAACATCTGAACAATCAACACTGCCGACTCTTGCTTGGTGAACTGCAAGATGGAACACAAAAATCCAAAGGATCTCCATCTCAATTATATAGAGAGCCTGCATGCAGATCACTATGCAGTAAATCACCAAAAGCAGAGGTGTTACTAACCATAATGCAACAGCAGCTTGGTTAAAATTTAAAGCGGTTAAAGCTGTGGCCCACCAAATATTCCTGGACTTCAACTCCCATAATCCGTAACTACTGACTATGGGAACTAAAGTTCATGGGGGTTGAGGTGGGCAATTGAGCGACAGATTCAAGTTGCTCACCACTAAGTTAAATGAACAGTACCAAAGATGGGGAGCAGAGTGCAACAGGAACACATTGGTACAGGGTTATTGTTGTTAGTAACTCCACGTGTGAGCCCGCCAGACTTGGATAGCCTTACACAAGACACCAGTGTACCTGTCTTCAGAAATGGTAAACCTCTCTCTAGGCTGCTTCACCTCAGTCTGCAGGTAGGGAGTTGCTCTTCAAGTCAACACATACGTGCAAATGCATACTCTGGCATTGAAATACCACTTTCTACTTACACTCATTTTATAAGCTTTTTAAAGTGAGAAGCATTTTATCAGCTGAACCTTATTTGCTGACACTGCAGCATGACCTACACCACTCCCTGTAGATTTTTAGCTCTCCATCTGTCGCAAGCTAACATCAACAGAGGCCTTATAAAAAAGGTTGTTGTATGACTGACTGAGATAAAATGTGAGAAAGGAGTGAGCACGAAAATTTGAAGAATTTGTATTTATAAAACTATTACTATATGGCGAAAGACAGAGATGGCAAGACAGACCTGTATGTGTTCTGGCATGCCGTTGCAGCTCATCACTGCGTGTGAATCGTTTTCCACAAAAGACCCAATTGCAGACGAAAGGGCGCTCTCCTGTGTGCAGGCGCACGTGGGCCCTCAGCAGAGAGGTCTTGCGGAAAGTCTTCCCACATTCAGGCACATGACAGATGTGCCTCTTCTTCCCCTGATCTCCCACCCTGAAAGAAAAGGATTAAGAGAGGTTCAAAGTTTGGAAAGTCCTGGGAATTCCTGATAATAATCCAGAATACCCCGTGTCCCATGAAGGTTAGATCCAACTGCTAGATAGCTTAGTCGTTTAGGTATCTAGCTGTGGAGCCAGAGGTTGGGAGTTTGGTTCCCTGACATGGACTGGACCACTTTTACAGAACTCGTCACCATTTGTGGGTGTGAAGTATGTTTGCAGGAAGACACACAAAACAGAATTCTGAAGACCTCGTTACCTAGACCACAAACCCTTACAAAACATATGTTCTTCTCCAAACAGCTCTCCATAGACCAGGTGAATGATTGAACTATGAACATTTTAATAGCTGGGAGAAAGAAATGCCTTCCCTTGCTTCACAAAAGTGATTAAACTGCAAAGTTTAACACCACCATTACAATCTTAGTCTAAGCAACATTAAGGCATATTTCCCAAAAACATTAGAAATATCTTCAAAGTAGGATCTTCAAGCCAACATCAGTGATCAACAAGTGTGGCTAGTTTTATCATATTACTAATTTCTATTGTCTCAAACTGTAGGCCTCAGCAGCCCTTTTTATAGAGACCAAGGGGCTTTGGTGCCCCTTGGAGAACTACAGAGTCCTAAGCCTTACCTTTTCTCTCCATCTTTGCAATTGGGGCAGGTGCAAGCCATTCGCCGTCTCTTCTCTCCAGGCTGCAGGTCCCCCAAGAGGGCCTGCTCCATCTGCAGCTGGATTTGGGTGGGGCTCAGTCCACTGATGGTCAGATTGTTGCCTGAGACATTTTGCACTGTCAGCTGTTGCTGGCCTGCATGGCAGAGAACAATTAAGATGACACTCAAAGCGTTTCCATTATTACTAATCGTTTTACCCAAACCAGTTTTACCCAATTATTCCAAGAAAGCTTCACGACATGTTAGGCCAACCGAGCACTTTTATTGGGTCCTATTTTGTACTCTCTTCATTTAAACTCTTCTCTGATGCTTTTTAAGGTCACTACTGCATTCAGGAGGAAATATTACCTGGGTTCCAAGAGGCAGCCTTTCTCTCTTACCTGGGTTTAGGAACCATGAATTTCCTTCACTGCCCTTTATGTGAGTTACTTTATTTGCCCCTCGTTTTATTCTTCATTTGAGCTCATTGCCACAGCGCTCTTGCCTATGCTCCCCATTACATATTTTGACATTATGAAAGCCAAGCTTCACAGGCCTACTACAGCCCCAGAAGAGTAATTTTAAGAAATCTTGCAAGACTCTACTTCCATTCATCATCCCAAACAGCCGGAAGGCAAAGCAATGCCAACTATTCTCAGCCTCGAAAGCCAGAAGTCAGATATGCAGCTGAGATACTATGGTAGTGCCATTAATGTATGCCAGAAAATACACCATGACCATGGCACATGCCTCTTCTAAACCTAGAAAGCAGTTATCCCAATCATCTTTCAGGACATGGGGAAAAGAACGAAGTACTGCTTGCTCAACATTGTACCTATTCATCATATCCAGAGAACATTGGTTCTCACTGGCACAGGATCTTGTTGTGGACAAGTTGGGAAATAAATAAAAACATAAGCAGCAAAGATATCAGGCAAAAACCAAATAAAAATAAAAAATAGGGAGAACAAAAATGTTGTGGCACCTTAAAGACTAATTGCTATATTTTAATGTGAGCTTTCATGAACAAATCCACTTCCTTCTGTTTGAAATATAAGGAAAATATAGCAGTTAATTTTTAATGTGCCACAATGCTTTTGTCTTCTTTATTTTTTTGCCCAAAATGCTAACACAGACTAACACAGCTACCACTTCAAAAGGCAGTAAAGACTTTACTAACTCTGTCATTAGTAATAGCACCCACGTATATAGTTTCATTTGCTAGGGCTGTACACAACATAGAGAAAAACATCCCTTAGGAAGTTGAATTCTAAACAGATATATGTTCTACTTGATTCAGGGGGATGCAATTCTCAGTAACTGTGCTACAAATGGAACCTGCCTGTAGTATTTCCATTTTCCTTTTCACTTTGCACATTTTGCTTAACATGACATGCTAAACACACAACTTTTATTTTGTTCCTGACCTAATCTATCTAGTCTCAAAGCCTTTTCTTCCTGTTTTTCCCCTGCCCCTGCCCAAATCTCTCTCTGCTTTGTATGACAGATGTTCTCAAGACTGTTTCTCCCACAAGATGCTGTTTAAGACCACACATCTACTGAAATATGCCACACATCATAAGATCATGACATCACAAACTACAGATCCTACCTCCAGTGTTGGTGATTGTGACAGGAACCCCTTGGACTTGAACCCCATTGATGCTGATGGTCTGCATTGCCTGAGCAGCCGCCGCAAGCTGAGCCGCATTGAGGCTGATGATGCCTCCGGCAGGGGCAATCTTTGGCAGGGCACGCTCTTTTCGAGCCCCGGTTGTCTTTTTGGTACTTCCTCCTGTTTGGGAACTGCGGGGGGCAGGACTGCTGCAGGATGTGGTCGAGGATGCTGTAGGGGAAGGGGCCACTGTCACGCCAGGAGCTTCTTGGAGTAGCACTGTCTGCAGCTCTCCAGAGGGAGTTTTAAAATAAACCTAAAAGAAAGGCAGAAAAAGAAAAGGAACACATGGACATCATTTCACTGGGACGGTCTTTACCATACTCTGTCATGCCTTTCTTGGATCTTTCACAGCACAAATATTCTCAAAGTATAGCCACAGCTCATCAAGTGAAAAAGAGTCTCCCAGTTGGTTTTCACCACGTCTTCTACCATTTCCTAAGCAGACAGTTCTTTAAACTATTGTATCATTATTTCTCACAGTGTGTGAATTAAATATATTGTTATTTTAAACTTCTGTCTGCAAATATTAAAATTCTGGATATTTTAGAGTAGTATGTATTTTCCTAAACAGAAAATATCGGGCAAAATGTATTAATTCTGAGATAAACTGCACCATCTGGCTTCAAAGACAGGAACTGCATCCCCAAAGTCGGGAAGACTTAAAAGCATTAGTATGGCAACAAGTCAGGCTCCAGAACCAGCAAATATGATCTGTACCCACTAATGAGAAATCTCCTCATTTTCCTAGTGCACAAGTTTAAAAGAAAAAAAGTCAAAATTAAGTATTTCTTTCAATTTTAACCATCCTATAAACCACACTGGGTGGGCGGGAAGGAGGGGGTAGGAATTACATACAAAGATGCTATGTTGGTTGGATAAGACAAATTTCAAAATTTGTTAGGCCAACCAAAAAGGCATAATATTCTCAGAACAAAGCTTTCAAATTAAAAACAAAAACAAAACATCTCTCCACTGGGCATGAGGATGTTACGAAAAACAGAGGAAGGGGATGCAGGCAGGCTTAATGTTAGATTGGCCTGCATGTTTTCTAAAGATACAACTGCAAAGAAACTACAGGCAGCAGGCTGCTCAGTTATTAAGACTCCAGCCTGATTGCCTCCCAGAAACAAGAAAAATTATTAAAAAGCAATGAATTTTGAATCTCCATTTTGAAAACCAAGTAACTTCCTTGCAATCCAGAGCTATCTCTACCCAGAAAGAAGTCAACAATCCCATTCTAGGAAGAGATAAGAGAGTTATAGGCACTTTTTGCACTGTCAAGGCAAAAAAAAAGTTCTTTTAAAAAATTCAAATGCTTGAACAGGAAATGTTATGCCTTTTTTATTGATCTAACAAAAGTACTAACACAAATACTAAAATTATAAATTATATGTGAGTAAAACAAAATTTTTAAAATGTAAATATCTCTGTATTAATGATTGACAACTAATTTAATTATCAATTACTGGTAAAGCTCAGTGAGTTGGAATGCCTGGATGCAGACCCAGGAGTTATGAGTCTGAATCCCCACTGTGCCTCCTATGAGATGAGCTAACCTAGAACTCTGAGACCATGCGTGGCTGATGGGATTATGTGCCCAGCCACCTGTGTGGCCCTGGGCAAGATGCACAGTCCCAAAGTACTACTAGAATGAAGAATTGATAAATGGTTTCTGAGTACTTTTATACACAGGAAGGTTGTCACAAGGCTGAATCAACTTGATGGCACATTACACCTGTTAATGGTTTTAACAATTCTAAATGAAAAACCACCTGTCCTAACAGGATAGATCAAAATATTAATAAATAGAGATGTGGTTCTAGAATACTTTTTATTTTCATAGTGTGAGAAGCTCATGGAATGGTTTGAAATGGGCCTTCTTGGAGAGAAACACAGGAACAAAATAAAGCTGCTGAAAAATCCTTATTTTAGGGCTGAGTAGAAGGAATATAGGAATCTTTCCTGATTTACAAGAGATTCAATTGCACAAATTCATCATTTTACACAGATTCCAAATCACTGGACTAGGCTGAATGTTTATGTACCACCTTAAATAATCTTAAGTTAAAAAGTGATCTTTAAATGCTTTACATATACAGTGGTGCCTCGCATAGCGACAATAATCAGTGCAGCAAGAATCATTGCAAAGTGATTTCGTCGCTATGCGATTTTTAAAAAGCCCATAGGAATGCATTGAAACTCCTTCAATACGTTCCTATGGGCTTCAGACTCACCTTTAAACGAAAATCCTCCATAGGGCGGCCATTTTCGCTGCCCGGTAAGCGAGGAATCCGTCCCAAAAAACAGTGAGTGGCCATTTTTTTTACCCGGCGGCCATTTTGGAACCGCCGATCAGCTGTTAAAAAATCATCGCTTGGTGATGATCGGTAAGCGAAACAGGGTACCGATCATCACAAAGCGATTTTTGCCCATTTAAAACATCGCAATACGATCGCTTATGCGATCGCAAAATCTTCATCGCTATGCGATTTCGTCATTAAACAGGGTGCCCGTTAAGCGAGGCACCACTGTATATCTACATATAAAACAAATAACTCCATTGGTCACAGTTATTATGCTAAAAGATCTGGAGATTTTTCCATCCCATTTTATCCCAGAATTCTAGGCATAGCTGACCAGAAACTAAAATCCAAATGCAGTTGTTCGTTTCTGAGTTGCGATCAGTCTGGCCACAACATTTTGGACCTGACTTTAAGGTCAGCCTTACGTAGACAACATTATGTTGATCTTGGAACCTTGTACAGTGGACCCTCTACTTATGGAATTATGTTCGGCGGCTCCAAAATGGCCGCCGGAGCCCCAATCGTCGCAAAGCGAGTGCGGCGATTGGGGCTGATCCGTATAGCGATCCCCAAAAAGGGATCGCTATACGGATTTTTCGTTAAACGGTGCACTCGTTAAGCGAGGCACCACTGTACATATAAAACAAATAACTCCATTGGTCACAGTTATTATGCTAAAAGATCTGGAGATTTTTCCATCCCATTTTATCCCAGAATTCTAGGCATAGCTGACCAGAAACTAAAATCCAAATGCAGTTGTTCGTTTCTGAGTCACCTCCACAGAGTTCTCTGAGCATAACAGATAAAGTCTACAGCCTAAATCCAACTTGAAATCCCTACTACAGCACAGCCACTGAATCAGTGGAATCTACCTAAGTGTTGACTTATCAAGTATTTATTTAATGGGTCTAACTCTAGTTGGTGCTACTAATTTGATTTAGGTCATACAATCAACTACTTAATGATCAACACCAATGTCAATCTAATTCAATAGATCTGCTTTAGTAGGAACTAGCAGTTCAATCTAGATCCATGAAATCAATCAAATAAAATGCAAATACCTGAGTTGGAATCGGCTCAGATGTCTGGATCTGGAAGTTTTGTGGGGACTTCTGAGGAACTGTGGGGAGTGTGGCTGAGGCTGCCTGGACTACCCGCAGAGCTTGCTGGGGGATCTGAACAACCTGCTGTTCTTGTTTTGGTTGGACCACTTGCACTTGTTGGACCACTGCCGGCTGGCCAGATCCAGGACTCTGCACAATCAACAGGTTGTTTCCTGCCTGGATGATGTTGTCTGCTGTGGTCTCTATCAAGACTGTCTCCACTTGCTCAGTCACAGCCATTGCAGTTGTCTGGGTGGGTGAAGCCACTTTCTTCCTGGTTTTCTTGCTTGGTTTTGAGGGGCTGTCTGGAACAATCTGTGTCTGAGCACTGGTGTCTCCAGTACTCACAAGGTTACTCATTGGCAGAGTAAGTGTGACGTTGCCACTGGTGCCCGTTAACTTGACAACGTTGCTGGTGTTCTGGACAGCAGCTGATGGGGTCTTATGAGCTGGGGCTGGCTTGATTGGCACAGGCTTATGAGCTGAAGACGAGGAAGAAGTGGAGGAGGAGGAGGAAGAGGTAATGGTACTAGGAATAATCTGGATCTGGTTTCCCAAGTTCTGTTGTACTTGAATGGTTTGCCCAGATGCCGTCTGGATCTGTGGAACCGCCTGGTATTGGATATTGGCAGGGGAACGGGCTCCTTTGTTGATGACAGCTGGGTTCTGGATGGTGAAAACCAGCTGCCCACCAGGATAAGATGTCCCAAGTTGAGAGCCCTGGATCTGGAAAAGGTTACCTTTTGAGGACAAGATCCCAATGCTGTTCTTGCTGGAGCTGAGAGGGAGTGGTGCTGGCTTGATAGGGACCAGTTTCCGAGGGGCAGGCTGAGGAGGGGCAGGAGAGGTGACAGTTGCTTCAACTGCTGGAGGACCGATCTTGCTACATGTGGCTGCAAGCAAGGCGAGTGGAGATGGCTGAGAATCCTATAGGAATGGGGGCAAGGATATATCAGAGACAGGCTGTAAGACAAGTGGTTCATTTGACTATTCAACACAGCACAGCAGAAATGTAAGGATAGTGAAGTGTGAGAAACATTTAAGATTTCTGCAACTCTGGTAGATGGGATTTATTCTGAGGGTGTGTATCATACCTCAAATGAACATGAGTTACCAATGAACCAAATCCAGATTAAGTTAGTCAAACTTTAATCCCAAAGAAATAAATGAGTTATTCATGACTTGTCCCATTGATTTCTTGATTTAAGTCCTATGGGTCCAACCCAATGCAATTGACTTCAGTAAAGTATTAACATAGTACAGTAAGCTTTCAGAAATGCCTTAGGCTTAGTGCATTTCATATTTTATTCCAGTCTCAAGAATTTGTAAGTGAACAGGTCCCTGAAAATGTACTACTTCCAATGTGACACCCTTCCACAATTGGGTGTTCTCCAGATGTGCTGGACTGCAACTTGCATAGTCCTCAGACAGTATGTCACAGGCTGTGGGTGACAGGGGCTGCACTGCAACAGATCCAGAAGGTGCCAGGCTGCCTCATGGTACAGTGGTTAAACTGCAGTACTGCAGCCAAAACTCTCCTCACAAACCGGGTTCAATCCCAGGTTCAATCCCAGCTTGAGGTTCACTCAGCCTTCTATCCTTCTGAGGTCAGTAAACTGAGTACCCAGCTTGTTGGAGGTAGGGGGCATGTGTAGCCTGAATGATTAAATTGTAATTATAAACCATCCAGAGAGAGATTTAAGCGCTATGGGGTGATACATAAGCAGCAAACTTTGCTGCCATACTGCTTTGATTATTGTGAAGGAAAAAGATAAAATTATTTGTTTGGATAAAGATTTCTAAGCCATCAGCTGTACTTTGAAGGGGATTTCTCTGCTCTCATTCATTCTGCATTTAACATGCTTCCCTTTGGCTAACTACATACAAACACCAAGCAGAGCAACCTGTCTGGAGTGAATTTACACAACAGAGGTTTCACAAACCTCGTCACATGCATTAAATGGCACAATAAAGTTTCCTCTATGCCACTGCTAATAACGTGGAGGAAAAAAAGCGCACTCATGGCAATGTGGGATCTGCATGATCAGCATCACAAATAGCTTGTCAACTGCAGCATCAGCAGTCACAAGAACACAATTTTAACCTGCTGCTGTATTCATTTATATGAAGCACATGCCATTGTTAATAATGACAGAAGAGTTCACCTGAGTTTCAGCAAATATACTCAACTCCTGCTTCTGTAAATAAGAAAACAGTAATTGTATACTTCTGCCCTGCCTTTTTGTTGTTGCAAAAGAAGTAATGAAAAGCTAAACATAACTTTAGCAAAGAAACACTTGCCCTGAAGATACTATTGGACCGTAATGTTTAATAATGGCCTTTTAAACTGGATCAAAACAGTTTAAAATACTTAACATCTTAAGTATTTTAGCCTGCATAACATTTTTTTAAGAAAATGCAAAAGGTTTCTGAAATATAGGCGTGGATCAGAATTTGAAGAATTCAATCACAGTGTTTCAATTAGAAATGTACTGTACTCATTTTGTTACTAAAGTTAGTTAGTTGGTTGCACAATCACTGTTTACAACCTGTATTTAGTACTTGTCTCCCCAATTCCATATGTAAACATGCAACTAAAGTAAGATTCAAGACACAAATATACTGACGCAAATAAGACGGGGAGAAAAAAAGTTGATGAGAAAGGGAGAGACAATCCAACTCAAATGTGACACTATTTTTATCTTTATTTAATCAATGGCCTGATAACACTGAAGTTATTCTCTGATTTACGTATGAGTAAGATGAAAATAAGTCACATGTGGAACAGCAACCAGATTGTACATCAAACTAATCTAGAGCCACACTTATCACAGTTGTTTCTCTATACAGAAAATTAAGAATTGTCTTTATGCCTGTTGGGACTCAGAAGAACAAAGATTTAAAGAGCACAGAAGCAATAAACTCAAAAATCTAACTCCTTAGGATTACACCGCAGTAGTGCAACTCCAAATATCACCTCTGACCCTCATTAGAGGAAGAGGCCATGTGTAGATTTAATAAAGCACAGGGAACAGAATAATTTTGTTCAAAAAAGAAAATATTTTTGTTATCGATAAATTGGTTTCTACTTTGAAAAAGTGGCAATTTTAATTAAAATGTGTTATGGCCCAAAGAGTCCACCGCAGAATATAAATTATGAACTCTAATTCTATATTCCAAAAAAATCTGAATATACAATCCAAGAATTCTTGAACTGGGACCTTAATTCTATGAGGTTCTATAGGCTTCTGCATAGATTTTTCAGGGCAATCCAACCTTTATCCCTGATAATCAGTTTAACAGATACTATCAATGAACATGCAGTTTTCAAACTGGGTTTGAGTCTCCAAGACACATCCCCGCTAACTTGTAATACAAGGAAGAAAAATACTGTAACAGACCTGATCAGCCTTATGTTCCAGCACTGCCTGAAGTTATTCTTGGCGCTCCCCCCACCTCCCAAGTTATGCAATGCTGGAAATCCTTGGAAGCTTTATTACAGTCTCCATGATTGCCTTCAATAGTTTCCTGAGTGGTACTGATTCCTTCAGAGTGCCAACACTAGCCATTATCCCTCTAACATATGTGTAGAAAATGGCAGACCCTTACCTCTTTCTCTGAAAGTGTCTGTGCACTTACAGACACTAAAAAATATAAATGAATAGAGTATTACCAGAGTCAATGCGAGCAAGGAGATTATGAAATATGGCTGTGAATATTATTATAAGAGAAGAGTACACATTTGGGGTATACCGTCAGCAAAAACAAGACCTGGAGCTGATTGTGGCTCTGATCATGAGCTTCTTATAGCAAAATTAAAGGTTAAACTGAAGAAAGTAGGAAAAACCAATGTGCTAGTCAGGTATAATCTAAACCAAATCCCTTATGAATAGACAGTGGAAATGAAGAACAGATTTAAGGAGGTGGATTTGGTGGACAGAATGCCTGAAGAACTATAGATGGAGGCTTGTAACGTTGTACAGGTTGTTGTTTAGTCATTTAGCCGTGTCCGACTCTTCGTGACCCCATGGACCAGAGCACGCCAGGCCCGCCTGTCTTCCACTGCCTCCCGTACAGGATTGTACAGGAGGCAGCAATAAAAACCATCCCAAAGAAAAGGAACCGCAAGAAAGCAAAGTGGCTGTCCAACGAGGCCTTAAAAATAGCAGAGAAGAAAAGGGAAACAAAATGCAAGGAAGATAGGGAAAGTTACAGAAAATTAAACACAGACTTCCAAAGAAGAGCAAGGAGAGACAAGAGGGCTTCCTTAAATGAACAGTGCAAAGAAATAGAGGAAAATAATAGAAAAGGAAAAACCAGACATTTGTTCAAGAAAACTGGAGATATTAAAGGAACATTTTGTGCAAAGATGGACATGATAAAGGACAAAAATGGGAGAGACCTAACAGAAGCAGAAGGCATCAAGAAGAGGTGGCAAGAATACACAGAGGAAATATACCAAAAAGATTTGGATATCCCGGACAACCCAAATAGTGTGGTTGGTGCCCTTGAGCCAGACATCCTGGAGAGTGCAGTCAAGTGGGCCTTAGAAAGCATGGCAAACAATAAGGCCAGTGGAGGTGATGGCATTCCAGTTGAACTATTTAAAATCATAAAACATGATGCCGTTAAGGTGCTACATTCAATATGCTAGCAAGTTTTGAAAATTCAGCAGTGGCTAGAGGATTGGAAAAGATCAGTTTACATCCCAATCTCAAAGAAGGGCAGTGCCAAAGAATGCTCCAACTACCGTACAACTGCACTCATTTCACACACTAGCAAGGTTATGCTCAAAATCCTCCAAGGCAAGCTTCAGCAGTATGTGGACCAAGGACTCCCAGAAGTACAAGCTGGATTTAGAAGGAGCAGAGGAATCAGAGACCAAATTGCTAACATGCGGTGGATTATGGAGAAAGCCAGAGAGTTCCAGAAAAACATCTACTTCTGCTTCATTGACTATGCAAAAGCCTTTGACTGTGTGGGCCACAACAACCTCCGATATGCAGATGATACCAGAAAGTGAGGAGGAATTAAAGAACCTCTTAATGAGGGTGAAAGAGGAGAGTGCAAAAAATGGTCTGTCTGAAGCTCACAAAACAACAACAACAACAAAAACTAAGATCATGGCCACTGGTCCCATCACCTCCTGGCAAACAGAAGGGGAAGATATGGAGGCAGTGACAAATTTTACTTTCTTGGGCTCCATGATCACTGCAAGTGGTGACAGCAGCCACGAAATTAAAAGACGTCTGCTACTTGGGAGGAAAGCAATGACAAACCTCGACAGCATCTTAAAAACCTGAGACATCACCGCATAGTCAAAGCTATGGTTTTTCCTGTAGTGATATATGAAAGTGAGAGCTGGACCATAAAGAAGGCTGACTACCGAATAATTGATGCTTTTGAACTGTGGTGCTGGAGGAGACTTTCGAGGGTCCCCTGGACTGCAAGGAGAACAAACCTATCCATTTTGAAGGAAATCAACCCTGAGTGCTCACTGGAAGGACAGATCCTGAAGCTGAGGCT